CATTTTTCCTATTTGTTGTCTTTAATTATCTTCATTCCAATTGGTATGAATTTAATCTTCTATGTAGGTGTATGTATGAATATAATCTGTAACATGTAACTGGGCAATATCAGTTTATATTTACATTTGCCCCCGCGCTGTCCCATTACAACAGTGTTAGAGGGCAAGTGTAATTATATAGGCTATAATTACAACTGCTCGGCTATAATTACAACTGCCTGTTTCAGGTGTAGGAATATGTAAACAAACAAAATGGCCGCCTGAAATGCATTTTGAGGCAGGGCAAATGGTTTTTGTAGGGTAATGTCTTAAAAAAGAAAAATATGTAAATATAAAAAATACCTGGTTGGCTGGATATAATTATGTTTGATATAATTACAAGTGGTCTCTGGCAAATCTACCATAAAACCCTAGCAGTTATTGTTTAAATATACTCGAGAGGTACGATTCTGTAACGTAAATCGTACACGTCGCAAGTCGAAGTTAGGATGTTACAGAATCTCGCTTAGTTACAGGAAATTCTTTTTTTCTCGAACCTTATAAAATGAAAGCTGTTAAATAATATTAATTATCGTCCAAGTTTACAAGTGTCCAATCTATGACCCATTTTTTAAACGTTTTAAATGGCCTCTGGATTACGATAACGACATTTGAATGCTTTCAGATACACAATGTACTTTGTGCCTAAAAGAGAGAAAACATGTTTCATCTTGAATACATTATTATTCATGAATTAAGTATCGCAGGTCTCATACATTTAATTATGTAATAGAGTATTTAAAATATTGCTTGTTAATTTGTTTAAGAGCGCAGACGAATACAACCCCTTGTCAAATTAATCGCCAAATTTCATGTTAAGATGAAAAATAGATCGGGCAAGATCGATACAACTAGCACGAGGAATACTGTTGGATATCGCTGAATGAAGTTTGAGAAACATTAAGGTTGTATATCAGAAAAAGCAATGGTTACTCTTTGACCTTTGCATATCTGTATGCATATTTTTTACAAAGCATTATGGAAAAGCCAAGATTATTTTGGGGTACATCTATACTGAACATACCAGAAGAACTGGGTGCACAATTGTTCATAAACCCCTTCGGTAATTTATACAAAGTGCAAAGTTTTAAACCAAATTACACATGCTAATTAGAGAAAGTGTTTTCTCCTGCCCACACAACTCCAACAATCCAGATGGAGTATAAATTAGTCGGGGGTGGATGTTGCGGTATCTCTGTTCAAGCGAGGTGGCACTACTATAAATGATGCCGTTGGAAGCACGGCCCCACTACAAACAGAACACATTACATCTCCAGCACACACGCACGCACACTCACACTAAAAACAGCATTTTAGTTTCGGTCAGGCACGTATGGACCCCTCGGTTCAAATATGTGTCTGTCGTTTTCTTTGCAGGTTGAGCTGGTTGAAAAGGTTGAACTGGATACGTGAAATGGTCATAGAGATTAGACGGAAAATATTCCAACCTATAAAACCGGAGGATGTTGTCGACTACGACATGAAAACAACTTACATACAGTATATAAGACATTTGAACGCGGTGAAATAAAGTTTATAGGTAAACAGGTAAACAGCGTCTGGTCCATGTGTACTAAGTAGTCACGGCGGTTTTAGCCAGTAAAAGTCGAATAAATTTACATAGATCATAACTATATGATACTCCAATGTGACGATTCGCGTTCCAACGTTTGGTGATAAGATAATGCGAGTGTGTCGATGTGATATGATCTGTTAGTGCTCAATTACGTTGAAATGGAAAATACCAAACATATTAAACAAATTGGTAACCCAGCCTTACATTTCCAGTGTTTCAAAACGAGCAAATAACAAAGTATCAAAATGCCTTTCATATGAAACACAAACCTTACCAGAACCATATGACTTTTTAAATTCAACCACGCCCATTGTATCAAATGGAAGATAAGATAAATTCCAACGACCTCTATTTTAGAAACAACGCATTAAAATGTCAAACGTCTCCGCCGTTAGAAATGAACAAGCCTAAATATCCAACGACTTTTCGTATGAAAACGTAACATTCTCCAAGGACCTCGATGCCAAGAGTCTAAAAATCATTTGCAATGTCTTGGGCTGATTTAAACAACGTTATGCAAATGAAAAACAAATCTCAGACAAAAAAAGTACCACCATTATCTTTAAAATATGTATTTCGAAGCTGTGCATTCATGTTTATGTTCTCTTGCTGATAATTCTCTCAATAACGATATTTATCCCCAAAAAGTGATTATCATGGTTGCAAAAACAACAGTTTAAATATATACAATTAATCTTCATATTCAACCTCACATCAAATGTAAAAACTGCAACGAGAACTAATGACTGTTCAAATGAACATTATAAAAAAACTGTTGAACTTGCATATAGAACGGACTGATGGATCAGTGGATTAATATGTCGACGGACTCAGATGACTTGTCTCAAACGAAACGTTGATAAAGTGTATTATTAACTTATTAAGAGAAATTGTTTACATTCATAATAATTATGGTGGACCTCAGAAATAGACGATGAACATAAATTAAAAATAGGAACTAAACCCAGACCGATGCCGGTATGATAAATCGTCTCTCTTTCGGTAAAAAAATGATGAATTATATTCTGACCTTCAATCATTACCTAGCCCTGTTACCAGAGTGTCGCAATGGGTGTGACTTGTCAGATTGACTAGCTTATAGGTACATGTGACTTACCTAACCTAGTCAGAATTAAAATACAATTAGCATTCATCTCCCCAACATCACAGTTAATGTGTGTACAAAAATTCAGGGCATACAACCGAGATGGTCAAGGTACACCTGTTCGTTGTACCTGACCCTACGTAAAGTTTTGCTCTAATTTAACTGTGTCCACCTGTGACACTAGGTGTGGGTTATGCAACTGCTAGGTTTAGTTTAAAACGGCCCTCGAATGGTAATGCTTTCACTGGCTGACCCAACACCAAGTCGTAATGTATCCATTACAGAGCGTACTATGTTACGTCTGCTGTAAACGAAACTGAATAATCCTTTTTATTCTTGAATCTTGATCTCTTCACACAATTATTCTTGTACTACAAACATGTACACTGTATATTTCTTTAAAGCAGAGATACATGTAGGAAGAATAGGAAGAAGATCTTTTACTGGATTAATTTTTAATTATATGTCAAGTTGTTCCAACTTGGTAAAGACTTGAATAGTGCTGTTGCCTTATCGTTTGTTTAATCGTTTGCACTATTACATAATTAATAGTATCGAAGATCATTCTAGCGCCATGCATTTGGTTGGTCACAATCAATTTAATCTAACTGCATCCTTTTAAAGAATTTGATTACATGTTTTACAACAGTGGGATCTAAGTTGGTAAAACGTGATATGATTTGTCAATAAACAAGAAGGTAGACAGGAATTTAAAAGATGCATTAATTAATTAAACGGACATGACAGTGATGTGATGTTCATGCTGTTTCACTTAATCAAATAATTTCATACTATTATGGGGCTTAATTGTGTAGTGATCACAACATGCCTGTAGACATATAGCGGTGAATGTCTAAAAGATGTTAAAGGCGCCCTAAGTTTTTTGCACAATTTAATAGAAATCAAACATCGAAGGAGAAAACTAAATCCGGACTTGTTGTATTTTTGATTTAAACATATTTTATTTGCAAAATTACAAAAGGGGTTAGACACAAGTTATCAAACTTAAAATTATATTCATTCATAGTGGCATACTTTATTAGATTTAAAAGGGCGACATTAGTGCTGAACATAATGGAGTTTACCAGTAAAGTCCGAAAGTTTTACTCGGGCCTCTTTCTCGTATCCTGTTCAAGCTTTTAAAAAACGGTTTAATCCGAAAGAAAGCGACAGGCGCAGATCTGAACCGAGGCTGACCTCAGGAATGTTCCGACGAAAATGATTTTAAGGATTTTGTAAGCATGAAAACTGTTATCCGAGACGGTTATTTAAAGATATATTTACGAAGTACATTACCCAACTTAAATGTATGTTTTGTTTCATCCAGGCAACATTCTGCTTTCTCATTTTTCCACTTATTGATAGTCTATCATCTTTTCCTAATGTTTATTTGTTATTTTTAACTATGGCACACAAGTTGGTTTTTTTATTTGTAAGCCCGGGTATTTTTTTATGGCCCCTGAAAGTTACCACATATAACATATATAATGTACATGTATATTGGAAATTTGGATTACGCCATATCTCGATAGCTGTTTCTTTGATCAAATTGCTGTAGACGGAGTTTTTGTCAGGGTATATTTATCACAGGTGACATAAATCTATGCCAAATTTGGACAGCTGGGTCCAAATCAGGTTTTTAAAAATAAAAACTAAATAAATAATTTCACATAACTCCTTTGAATGATAAAGAATACTTTATTTGGCCCAATCTCTGAAATATAGCCAATATTAGGTCGTTTCCCTCTGTTTCGGTAATTTATATCCTAAACCCCTTTCACTGGAGATACCAACTCAGGGATGTGTCCACTACACATCCCTGACCAATTGAACGCATTTACAATGTACGCAACCAACTTATCCCCAAAAAAATCAATAAACACCATTACTGATTGTTACGTTGTATCCGTTATCAAAATAATACAAGACTCCGTATGGGGTATTTACAACTACATGCTTAATTATTGCCACTTAGCTATGCCTTATAATACAGCTAAAGAGTACAGGGTCAGTTTAACACCTGTGTAATGTCAATGATCGGGGCCTTGGCTGAAACGTCTCTGGGTGTTGAGCCTTGACACTAGTGCAGTTAATTAAAATACAGGCCTTTCTCACACAGATATTATCACTGTCGTTATGGATAATGACTGGACATTACACTGATGGAAGGTGTATCCCCTAAGTAAAAAAATTGTTACGATAATATCCGGAATTCTGCGACGGACTCCATTCCTAGAAATGAGACTTTATCATACTACTTCCGGTTTCCGTTAAGTTGTTTCCGATGAAAACACGTGCACGTGTTTAGTTTTAAACTTCATGTAGTGGATGACAGACGGTATGTGAAAAATTACACACCCAAAGGACCTGTAACCGCTAACTTTGCATAAAGGTATTGATGTGTAATATATTAAAAATCAAAGCTGTTTGGTTTATTATCAGCCGACTTCATATGGGACGGTTCAGTTATTTGCTAGCTCATGTGCGGTATATTTGCTTGGAGCGAAGTTCTTGGTTTGTAAAGAAAGTAATATGTTTTACGGCACGGCCGTTAGTGAGGGCGGAGCCAGGTTGTACTGTAAATGTATCGGAATATCGGCACTGTACTCTTTCAAGCATTGAGTGATGTGTTAAATTACTAAATCAGACCTACATGTATAGCTATACAGTGTATATTACAGTTAAGTTTCCTTTCTTGATTTCTTTTTGGCTGACAAGATGTTTGATATCTTGAAGTTTTCCGCCTAGGCGTATGATGACATGACATTAATGTGAGAATGCGAAAGGTTCATTAGACTCTATATAAGTATTTCAATTTGCACCTCTTGAATCCATTGCAAGAATCAAGTGCAGCATATTCTACAAAGACATTGTTATAAACATATTAGGATGGATATTGTTAATCATGTATAATAGCATAGTTATCTGATATCCACGAAAAAATATACATATATATATGTATATATCTTTACGAATAAGCCCTTTGGATTACTTCAAACTTAACTTCAATGATTTATAAATATTGTATCCAGAGAGAACTTATGCATAGTATTTTACAATTCTTATGCTTTTTATGTCTAAAAACTAATTTGTTCAATGCTATAAAAACTGGATTTATATGAAGTTTATTGAAAATAAGAAGAATATGCGAAATCACATTTTTTGTCATTTTTCAATACCCATCATTGCAGCCAAGAGAGTCAATAGATCTATATATCATATATATATATTGTGGATGAATACATTTGTTTCAGCAACTTACTGACTATATGCTTTATATGTCTCTGCTTTATCATCAATATGTATAGTTTTAGCAATAGAGAAAATATATCAGTTCAGCACATTAAACTGTATAGATTTTTTTTTAAATCGTGCAGATTTGTAAAACAGCAGATTTTCTTTTATGAATAAAAAAAGCTGTGAGATAGTAATCAAAAATGAAAATGTTACAGTACAGTATGGATTCAATTTTTTTCTTCTATTTTCTTAGTGCAAAATATCAATTAAAAAATTCTGATGAAAATATTTGCATGTTTTTTTAACCTATCATTTTGCGTCACTGTGATAAACTCCCTTTTTGTTGACAACAACGTTGTTTTGTTGATATTCCTTTTCTAAATATACCACTGCAATCTCTACCCAGAGTTGTCGTAGGGAGTGCAAGGACCCTAACTCTACGTGATAGTCTCGTTCAACCAGACTCTTGTTGTCTGCGCAAGCGTCTGATTGAACGAGACTACACTGCCGATACAATAATTTTTCGACCATTCAGAACTAGAGCAATGTAGCCGGTAAAGTTATGTCAAGAGAGTTTACATCTTTAACCGGAAAGTATCAAATATTTAAGTATCCTATAGTTAGATATTTTTTTTTTAAATCTTACAAAAATGTAACGTTTGTTCGAGATTCGGCAAACGAGAACTTGTTTCGAGATCAAGATGGCGGAGACTACAGCGCGTGCGACCGGCGGCCATGGTAAGACAAGTTTTTCAGTTCCATAGGTATTGTGAATATTCTTTATTTTTCTTACATACGTGTTACCTATAGGGAGAGCTTCGTTCTCACGGGCCCTTCGGGCCCGTGAGAGAGCTCCGCCCTCTACTAGTAAATAAAGTCAGTGTTTTATATACCCTTTCCACATAGTGGAATAAAGTGGATCTTTTCGTATCAACTTCTGAAAGGCAATGATTTGAACAGTTGTCTGTTGAATGAGTCGTTCGATTTAAAAAAAAAAAAATGATCTAAAAATGAAGGAGTCAAATTGGAAAAATAGAGAAAAGGGAATATTTGACTTTTCCCTCCCAGGTAAATAAATCACTGAAGTATTTTATTTCTAGTACTGAATGCCACTTTGTTGAGAATATTAAGAGTACTGTAACAGATATGGGTTGCCTTATCAGCTGACTGCTGTAAGTATTTTTTTTAGCTCAGCGGTATATTCCAATTCTATAACATAAGAGGCTGTTAGTCATCCTTTTTTCTATCGGATAAGATTTTGCTGACTGCGACCATTTTAACAAGGATAACCACAACCAGCTCACCCGCAAACTGCTAGTAAAAGGGGTAGTTTATAACTGGATTGAGTCGTAAAAACAGGACCCAGACAGCATAGGTGTATGTAGACAAACAGTATTGTTGTATGTAGTAGACAAACAGTATAGTTTTATGTAGACAAACAGTATTGTTGTATGTAGATGTCACTCTGTCTCTGGTAAAATACTAGCTGTTTCCTACCAACTTGACTTAGGAGAATTTCTCTTTAGCTCATTTGGTAGAGTGTAAGACTAGTAAGCCACAGGTCCGGGGTTCGACTCCTAGCAGAGGCATGCCATAATTATGCTAATTAATGCTTGAACGGAAAGTGCAATGTCTTAAAATTCACCACCAAGCAAATACTTATCCAGACAGTAATCAAGAATAACAGGAGGCAAGTAAAGATGCCAAGTAATTGAAATAGATAGCAAAATACCAAACAACCCCAAGTGGTGTATCATATAAACAGCACGGAGAAAGCAACAGATTCCTGTGATTCTTGTGAAGAAACATGTAAATAATACTACCATCATCAAGAATCTAGAATATGCTTTGCCGTTGTATAACCCCATAACCCCTGGTGTAGTATACGTGTGTGCAAACACTCTCAACACCCTACACAAGTCAGTTAAAAGCCAGGTAAAGCTGTTTAAATACATGTAGGGCCTTCCCCTGCAGGTTGTACAGCTATGCTTTCAATCCTGGCAAATATTTGGCTCTTTGAACAAGTTCATAATTGTGACATCAAAATGAAAATAATTGTATGACACCTGACCACATTTAGGTATAGCTGATTGAACAGCTAACCAGACCATTATCACATATGTATTAACTTATGCTAAATCAACTCTTCTACCATGCCAAAATAGTGATCGTTTCATACTGTTGTCAGTATTAAAGGTGACGACGTATAAAGACAGAATATTATGGGTAAATCATATTAATGTAAATAACGTTGATTGAACTAGTTTCCACTATATAACCACAAGCTTAATTGATTTTCCCCTTTCAGATACAATATCTGTTATGAAGCAAAAGCAAGATTTGCTCTACAGCCTTGCAGACCTTTTCCTGGATCCGCTGTATACAAGGAAAATATGTCAAGTATGCCGCACTGTCATCCTGGACATTGTGGCAAGGGCCAAAGAAAGATCAGAGGACGAGGCTCCACATCATTATGTGGATCACATAAACAGTAAATTCTGTCATGCCCTGAGCATTGCTGTCACACTATGTCCAGACTTGGAAAGGTGAGATATTTTTTTATTATTTCAGCGTAATATTTATTAGTTAATGCTTGAAAAAAGGTATTTGAGACCAGCATCTATAGAATCTGAAGCCATTATTGGTAATTATGATTAGAAATGTTTTCTGTTACATGTATTTTGAAGAAGGGGTTTACCTTTCCATGAACTCTCTAAAAATAAGTCTTTAAATAACTAAAATATAAAGGTTTTTACAAAAGAAATAAAACAAAATAACACTTTGCTATTTACGCATGAAACTGTCCAATCAGAGAGTATTGTTTAGTGTGAATTCATTTGTAATAGCCTCAACATTTTCCTATTGTGATGTCATTCCTAATTTCAATATTTTTTGGTGGGAGATGGACCACCACAAAGCCAATAATTTCATAAAATAGTGTGTTTTTGTAACTGTACATTTTGTGACTGCAGTTACACTATCAGCTACCTCAGACAAGGCGGTTTGTACCTGCCTGCACCACCTCAAACAAAATGCAAGATGATGGCGGAGTCAGAGAAACAAGTAAGAACGTCCACTGTGTCATTTTGGTTTGAAAAAATAAAAATGAACATATTTTGTCAGCTTTTACACAGATATTAGTGTCCCTGTATTGTAAGTCATATCTTAACAGTATAATTCTTCTCTTTAATGCAAGTTTGGTCAGCTTGGTCTGAGAAATGATCAGTCATAGAGTAAAGAAGCATTGAAATAACACTTTTATTGTGGAGAAAAACTTCCATCATATATATTGCATGTACAGAATTACATTCAGTACATGTACTTTTCTAGATCATGAATGTGTGACATGAATATTCATAAAGCACAGAAAAGGTGGTAGAAGTTGGCTTGTATATCCAGACAAGATTGATGGCTAAATAACATTGTGATACATGGCTGTGTTTGAAAGAAAAACGAGTCTGGAGGGAAAGGGTGTTCTGACCAACCCAACCCAGCCCTCCGCCTCCCCACAACTTCTTTATAAGATCTGCCAAATGTGATTATTTTGCACAGAGTTCTCTTTAATATACTGTACCTAGCAGTTTTGTAATGTACCTTTGTTTCGCTTTATCTAGAAGGTTTGTATTGTTTTTTTATTTTTTATTGCTTTATCTAGAAGGTTTTCATTGTATTTAAATATATTTTTTGCTTTATCTAGAAGGTTTGTATTGAATTTTTGTTTTTAATTGCTTTATCTAGCAGGTTTGTGGGCTGTTGGAGATGATCTGGAGGTTTGTCCACGTGTTTGGGAAACAGATGACAGATGTAGTACCTATGGATACCCTGATGTCCTATCTCAGTCACTACCAAGACAAGGCTAGGGTAGTATGGTGAGTTCACAGGGAATTGGTTCAATCTTAATTTTCGATGTTTAAATCAGGCAAGATTTTTTCCAGTTAAATGATTTGACACAAATTTTCGTATTGGAGTACAAATCAATTAAAGAGAATTTCGCAATGAAAGACAATGAAGAAAAAATAATTCTAATATGATAAACCAATCCTTCTCTCCGTTTTCTACAATTAACTAAAGTCATATTCTAGCTACTTTTAATCTAGTCAATGCCCAAAATTGTCCCTGTATAGAAATTGACAATTGTATGAATTTGTGTATTGAATGGAATTGTGTTCCAAAGTGAAGAAATAGTGAGTTATTAGTTTTCAGAAAATTTTCTTATGAATTAACAGGAAGCTCCTGTATATATTTTGTAAAACAAATATCATGTACATTATACAGTATACCAAACCAATTGTAGTTGGAAATTCAAGGGAGATAACACACTGACAACTGTGTGCTATGTTAACAGGTTGTGTGCAGACAGTGTGTCCACCATGTTGGGTATGACATCACACCAGAGAGATGCCTTAGTGTGTTCTACACTACAGACCGACAATGAAGGAACCCTATCTACACTCAAACTACAGTAAGATTTCACCACCCTAAAGGTCCCTGGTACAATCATCTCGGGCAAGGTTCTGTTGTTGAGACTCCGTATTGATATAGAATATAAATTGAAATTAATAACACGTCTTCGCAGATAAGAATATTGTTTTCCAATTTTGTTGAAGTTTGAAAACTAGTATGTTTATTCTGTATAAAGGTGTTTTTTGATGTCCACATTTCATCTGAACAAATATAATTAGTTAAGTTTTCGTATTTGAGGAGTCTAAAAATGTGTTTGTCAACACAGGACTTTTATAACATTCAATGTTTTAAAAGCAATAATCCTTGTAAATATCAGCAACTAAAAAAACCACTGATTTGGATGGTAAAATATCTCAAGCATACACAACCTTTTGACAGCTTTTTCTAGAAATTTGTGAAATTTGGTTACGAGCATGCAAGAACAATTTTAGTTTCTCATACATACGTGTACCTGGTCAGCTTTTCGACAATAGTGTAACAGTGTTGTTGTTTAATTTTATATTACCAGCACATATAGACAATAAATTATCCTAGTTTTGCCATGGTGCCTTCCACAACAACCTTGCCCTGTGTTGAATTTACCCTTTCATTCCATCATTGATGACCTCACATCCTCCTTGTGTTTTCAATATTTTTCATTCCATTTTGAGATTGCATGCTATCAAATATAAGAGTTAATTGATAAAATGCTATGCAAAAGTAGAAATAAATCCATTAAAAAGGCAAATATTTTCTATTTGGTACAAATTGCACTTTTATTGAGCTTGAGATTAAAATTAAATTTTTAAATCATTCTTTGTGTATATACTACTGAATCTGCTCAATTCTCGTTTGTAATTTACATAAATATAATTATCAACAATTAACCAATGGTCCTGTTTGTGTAGACATCTGAACTGGTGCCAAGACTGCGGACTGACTGACCAGCTGGAAGATGATCTATCGGTTGATTTACCATTAGAGACATCTCAGCAGAGTCTGACTGAGGTCATCATGGGACTTGACCAGGCTGACCTCCACCACAGTGTTGTTATGGTAGCTGCCATCCTCCTACCAAGGATCAGCATTTCAGAGGAATCGGTGAGGAGTAACAGAGAAACTAGAGCAGTTAATTAGAAAGAGAAAGATAATTCTGCTCTCAAACCAGGAATTATAAATATATTGTACTGTATTAGATTAAATTTGAAGAAACTTGGGAGTTTGGTTGTAAGATAATTTTACCTGTAAATTGCAACATTAAATTCATATTCATATGACCAAGTGGAAAAATATCCTTACATTGAAAAAAACAAATCACATTTAACAGAAACTGCAAAGTGTCCAATTGGAGTTACATATGTGTCTTCATCTTTCTCTTAAGTCGAGATTCTCAGCATGGCTGTGTTTGATTTAGATGAGAGGAAAAATTACAACATCATGACTGTTGTTTTACAAATACATATATTCATAGTGATCCATTGATACGAATAGAAAATAGCACAATATTTAACAGTATGCCATAGACTTTGGAGATTAGAAGTAAGGCTACATGTTACGTACATATTATGCTGTAGTGTTGTGTTAGAGTTATCTCCCTTAATATATTTTAAGTACTTTGAATTAGAAATTGTAAATTCCTGGTTCTCTTCTTCAAAGTGGGAAAGAGCAAAACTTAACAGGAATGAAAATATAACAGTATTACATTTGTGATTAGTGACTGACTTGGGTGCTTTTGTAGCCCTGCGCGACATCCTTGGTACCAGCAGAATCCCTTGACAATAACTTGCGGAGCCTTGCCCTGGCTGTGTCTGCTGGTAGTCCTGTCCTGTTACAGGGACCAGTCGGGAGTGGGAAGACGTCTCTGGTAGAACACCTTGCCAAATTGACGGGACGGGTCAAATCTCCGCATCTGATGAAGATCCAGCTCGGTGATCAGACCGATAGTAAGGTAATACATGTTTCTTATCAATAGAGTTGTTATTTTATTACAGTGACATTTCACTTTCAGTGAAAAGCAGGCAGTTTCTCCTGTTTATAGGGTTTCATATTTTCCCAAAATTAATAAAAAAAATCAGGAATTTTTCCGAAACTTTTGTAAAGTTACTATATTTTCCTAACTCATGTTGGCTGTTGTAAAACTAAGGTAGAAAAAAACCACTGTATTAAACATTTAAAACAATTGCATTTTCAAGGTTTAGTTTTGAGAGCTTTTGTTTGCTATTTAGACCCAAAACCTTATCCCTGTTCTCTGCAGGACTTCATTACTGCATTGCTGTGTGATGGGGGAGCAAGGAATTCCAAATAATTAAGTGATAATCTTAAAAGGAAATATGATAAAGGCTTTGATCAAAAGAAATATATTCATATATAGTAAAGGAGTGTGTACTTGAAAACCGATAGGTTACAGTCTACTTAATAAAATTAGGTGAAAGTTGTTTCCAAGGCCCTGTGTGGTGTTCACCATAAACGTGTCACTTCAATGTAGTTCATTTATAATGTCTACCTATATTACAGGCCTTGCTGGGGACATACCGCTGTACAGATATCCCTGGCGAGTTTGTGTGGCAGGCCGGTGTACTGACCCGCGCCGTGACAGAGGGACACTGGGTCCTTCTAGAGGACATTGACTCTGCCCCTATGGATGTTATATCTGTCCTTCTGCCACTCCTAGAGAGACACACCCTGTCCGTCCCAGGGCATGGTGATAACATCCCAGCTGCACCAGGCTTCCAGCTGTTTGCAACTCAGAGGTTGGTGCAGTCTAGACCTGGGAGAGAAAAATATCCCAAATAATATAGGATTAGACATTTTTTGGAGTTAAGTGTTGCCAAATTACACACTCATTGACCTGAAATGAATACTGTCCCATAGAACATTATAGAGCATTATGAAAACATTTAACTCATTCACCCCTGAAGGCACATTTGAACTCTTCCAATTCAAAGGTTGGAATAGTTCATTCTGAAATTTCAGGGGTGAATGAGTAAAATGGGGATTTTTGTTGCCTGTGAAGCCAAGGTGACATGGAATGATCACTTTGTTGTTGTCTGCACATTAATTCTTGAAGAAATGCTTCAATTTTCATCAAACTTTCCATACATGCCTCTAGTATTAATTTACTGCTCAAGCTTAGTTTCGAGCCAAATCTAAAACTCAACATGGCCGACAGTGGGGGCAGGTGACACATTCTCATACATGGAATTCCTGTTTACAATACATAAGGGTTTGATCATAAAGCATTTCTAGAAGTTGCAATGAGTGAAGGTCAAGTGGTTGTCAAATTATTCTGATTATTGTTTGCAAGGGTTAGCTAATGGGTGGTTGCTTACATGATGCTATTGTTAGGTACAGGTTGTTGTGTTTGGTTACAGGTTGCTATGGTTAGTTACAGTTCTTGTGGTTAGCTACATGTTGCTATGGTTTCAGGTTGCTGGGCAGTGGCAGTGGTTGGCATAGACAACACAGCAGTAGTTCAATCCTATTAGAGAAGATGTGGACCAAGGTCAATGTAGAACCACTGTCAAGGTCAGAGCTGGAGAAGGTAAGACTTATATTTGTATACACTATATAGAAAAGACAATATTCTCAAAAATTCTTGAAGCAATATTATCACAATATTGAATCAGTGTGCAAAACAACATAATGTTACATGTAAAAGTTACGTGGTTTATAAAGGCTATAAAAAGTGCGGAATTTGGGGCAAGTGCTTGAAAATTAATCTGAGAGTTTCCCGGAAAAGTGCTGTATTTTAATCAGTATTCCTAGAAAAGTGCTGGAATGTATCTATTGGAAACAATTACCTGATACATGTAATATGTATTATTTTTTATGAAATTTCATAATGAACTATATTCCATCCTTTGAATTGGGAGAGTTCAAATGTGTCTTCAGGGGTGAATGAGTAAAGATGATTTATTAATGAATGATTGTTTCAAAGATTTTGTGTTTCTTTATATAAAGTTATCATTAAAAGTTAATCTATTGTTATTTTTAATATTTTTATTCTGTTCAAAAAGTGATTGTTCAGCTTATATATGATATTATTTTACTGAACTTGATCAGGTGATAAACACCCTGCACCCACACCTAAGCCCGGTCACAGAAAAGCTCCTAAATATATACTTCATGCTGTCTGCGGGAAAACATGAGCTAGGAGCTGGGGACAGCCTCTCGGATGAAGTGGGCAAGTTCTTGTCGCATGATGGCCGACTCATTTCCACCAGGTAATTATTTAAATTTCTAAATGATACTCTACTTGGTGACTTTCTCTGCTCCATGGTTTCTGGATAATTCTTAAAATGCACAGAGTTTTGAACAGCATTGAATCAAAATCTTAGCTGGGATCTAAGATGAATTTATTTCTTATTTTGTACATGTATATGTTCTGATTAAATGCATATTTAGCGGTAATATGTACATAGCTCATTTCATAGGATGTCCACCTTCTTGCAGAGAACTCATAGGTTTGAACCTCACTATCAGCAGTTATTATGTCCTTGAACTTGACACTTTACCCTCAATATTCCAGTCTACCAAGTTGTGCAGATTGGTACACGCATCATGGGAAGTAATCATTTCTCATTTTAAAGTAGTCCATAGTAAAAAATACTGGTTAGCTCTATACCATTTTTAAAAGTTACAGGAAGTGTCCTTGTTAAACACCCCTGTAGGGACATGATGGGATTAGGGATTAGAATTGACCTTGAATGATTAGATCCAATCTTGAGAAATTACAATAAACCTTAAACGATAAGAATTGGTCTTTAAAGATTTAAATCAAACTTGTGGGATTAGAATCAACCTTAAATGATGGTAATCAACCTTGAGGGATAAGAATTGACCTTGAGGGATTAGAATCAACCTTGAGAGATGAGAATTGACCTTGAGGGATTAGAATCAACCTTGAGAGATGAGAATTGACCTTGAAGGGTGATGATTGATTTTGTGGCTCATTCTTTCAGAGACCTTATGAACTGGTGTAGACGTATCGCTCCAGACTTTAATGTGTCGTCCACGACAACAGCCAAACACGTTCTACAGGAAGCTCTGGATTGTTTCGCTGCATGTCTCCCAAAACTGAACAAACGAGTGCTTGTAGCAGAGGCCATCGGAGCTAAACTCAATGTCACGAAGGTCATGGTAAGTACATTGTAGCAGAGGCCATCGGAGAGAAACTCAATGGCACCAAGGTCATGGTAAGTACATTGTAGCAAAGGCCATCGGAGCAAAACTCAATGTCACGAAGATCATGGTAAGTACATTGTAGCAGTGGCCATCGGAGAGAAACTCAATGTCACGAAGGTCATGGTAGGTACATTGTAGCAGAGGCCATCAGAAGGAACCTCACTGTCACGAAGATCATGATAAGTGCTTGTAGCTGAGGCATTGGAGCGAACCTCAATGTCACGAAGGTCATGGTAAGGACATTGTAGCAGAGGCCATCGGAGAGAAACTCAATGGCACCAAGGTCATGGTAAGTACATTGTAGCAAAGGCCATCGGAGAGAAACTCAATGTCACGAAGATCATGATAAGTACATTGTAGCAGAGGCCATCGGAGCGAAATTCAATGTCATGAAGCTCATGGGAAATACTTGTAGAAGCGGATATCAGAATGAAACTCAATTTCACGAAGGTCATGGTATGTTCCTATAACAGTGTTTATCAGAGCAAAACATATCATCACAACGGTGATAAGTGCATTGTAGCAGAGGCCATCGGAGCGAAACTCAATGTCATGAAGCTCATGGTACATACTTGTAGAAGCGGATATCAGAATGAAACTCAATTTCACAAAGGCCATGGCATGTGCCTATAACAGTGTTTATCAGAGCAAAACATATCATCACAACGGTGATAAGTGCATTGTAGCAGAGGCCATCGGAGCAAAAGTCAATGTCACGAAGATCATGGTAAGTACATTGTAGCAGTGGCCATCGGAGAGAAACTCAATGTCACGAAGGTCATAGTAAGAACATTGTAGCAGAGGCCATCAGAAGGAACGTCAATGTCACGAAGATCATGATAAGTGCATTGTAGCAGAGGCCATCGGTGCGAAACTCAATGTCACGAAGATCATGGTAAGTACATTGTAGCAGAGGCCATCGGAGCGAAACTCAATCTCACGAAGGTCATGGTAAGTACATTGTAGCAGAGGCCATCGGAGAGAAACTCAATCTCACGAAGCTCATGGTAAATACATTGTAGCAGAGGCCATCAGAAGGAACCTCACTGTCACGAAGATCATGATAAGTGCTTGTAGCTGAGGCATTGGAGCGAACCTCAATGTCACGAAGGTCATGGTAAGGACATTGTAGCAGAGGCCATCGGAGAGAAACTCAATGGCACCAAGGTCATGGTAAGTACATTGTAGCAAAGGCCATCGGAGCGAAACTCAATGTCACGAAGATCATGGTAAGTACATTGTAGCAGAGGCCATCAGAGCGAAACTCAATGTCACGAAGATCATGATAAGTACATTGTAGCAGAGGCCATCGGAGCGAAATTCAATGTCATGAAGCTCATGGGAAATACTTGTAGAAGCGGATATCAGAATGAAACTCAATTTCACAAAGGCCATGGCATGTGCCTATAACAGTGTTTATCAGAGCAAAACATATCATCACAACGGTGATAAGTGCATTGTAGCAGAGGCCATCGGAGCAAAAAGCAATGTCAAGAAGGTCATTGTAAGTTCATTGTAGCAGAGGCCATCAGAGCTAAACTCAATGTCACAAAGGTCATGGTAAGTACATTGTAGCAGAGGCCATCGGAGAGAAACTCAATGTCACGAAGGTCATGGTAGGTACATTGTAGCAGAGGCCATCAGAAGGAACCTCACTGTCACGAAGATCATGATAAGTGCTTGTAGCTGAGGCATTGGAGCGAACCTCAATGTCACGAAGATCATGGTAAGTACATTGTAGCAGAGGCCATCGGAGAGAAACTCAATCTCACGAAGCTCATGGTAAATACATTGTAGCAGAGGCCATCAGAAGGAACCTCACTGTCACGAAGATCATGATAAGTGCTTGTAGCAGAGGCCATCAGAAGGAACCTCAATTTCACGAAGATCATGATAAGGGCATTGTAGCAGAGGCCATCGGAGCGAAACTCAATGTCATGAAGCTCATGGTAAATACTTGTAGAAGCGGATATCAGAATGAAACTCAATTTCACAAAGGTCATGGTATGTTCCTATAACAGTGTTTATCAGAGCAAAACATATCATCACAACGGGTGTAATTTATACTCAATATAGGAACAAAACCTAATGTCACTAAGGTCATGACCTGTCCTTTAAGTGTCTGAAATGATGGAAAAAACTTTGATAAGTATAGAGATCAAACACAACACCTGTTTATAATGTACACTACTTGTCTGGTGGACTCCCTATTTGATGATTTTCAAAACACATTCATGCCTTGTTTAATAATATACAAATGTACAACATTTTAAGCCACTCTAAAGCACTTTACAGTATACAATTTACACAATCATTCAAATTTACATAATTTTATACATTAATCAATACAATTTTGAGGAATATACAGGAGCTGCCTTATCAGACGCTAACTATTAGTCCTATGCCTCCTGGCTAATATCTCTATGTGTGTATGCCTGCGTGTGTGCTGGAGATGTATTGTGTTCTGTTCATAGTGGGACTGGCCTCCAACAGTATCATGTATAGAGCCACCTCACTTGAATGCTACAGCAAAGATGCCACAACATCCACCCCAGACCATTTTATACTCCACCTTGGTTGTTGGAGTTGTGGTGGCAGGAGAAAAACACTTTCTCTGAATATTCTATGTGTACAATGACTTCGGGGATCGAACCCTGGCCACCTGCGTGGAAGGCTGGAGTGTTAACCACTCGACCAATCCGCCCATATATTCATTATTTTTCCCCAATATGTCTCCTTGATAGTTTTCTTGAGTGTAAATTAACACAAGAACAAAAACCTGTCTACCTCAACAAATTGAAAATATAAATATACATTCATTTATTGTAATTTATATTGTAGTAGTTGTTGTGCAAATTTATTTTCCAGTCACAAAATCCAGTCAGTTTACCTGGGTACGAACATAGTCAGATTACTGATGGCACTTCTCAAAAACTTATTACAAAAGTTTGATTTAACAACTCATTTGTTAATCAGAATTTAAGCAGCTTGACCAAGATTTTAATGTATTCCTTAAAACTTGATGGTACATTGTTTCAGGCTGAGTATTTTTGTTGCAAACACAAACCGGAAGTGAAACTTACCTCAACCTCTTTTACGTGTGGGCGCGTACAACTGGAGAAGAAAGCAGCAGAGATTGGTTCTATTATGAGGTAAGTAGAAAAGACTGGGGTGTTGTGTGAGAGCTTGGGTTCAGAGCAATTCAATTCGTTCAAATAAATGACTTTGACCTGCTTCAAGATCACTGGGGTCAAAAGTGTCGACATTTTTAATGAATTGTACAGAAGAATCTTTGTTTGGATTCATTATTGATAAGTTGCTGTGTAGCTTTGACCGCTGAAGTAAAGAAATTGTGTACAAGATAGCTCACAAACCCACCAACAGATTTGGTTAATATATACCATAGTGAGGTTACATCAAGTTATATACTTGACTAGATTTTGATGGACAAGGTTAAAGGGTCAAAGGTCACACTTGACCAGTTTTTAGGGTTAGGAGGTATGTCTAGTGAGCCTTCACTCACCTTGTTCTTCTTTTTATAGAACGCAACAGAGTACCTTTTCCTTTACGCGGCAGTCTTCAGCTTTACTGGAACAAGTGTCAGTGTGTGTGGGCAAGAACGAGCCTGTCCTTCTGGTAGGGGAAACAGGAACGGGTAAAACATCTTCGGTACAATTCCTGGCTGAACAACTCGGTAAGTCAGGTATCTTGGAAATCATTTTGGAGGAAATATAAAACTAAGTTTATTAAATATGAAAGTCAATTTTTCAATCAACTTTTAATGTAGATTGTTCTTTTTCCCTGCATGTGATGGTACTTTCTTTCATCAAAGTAGCCAAATAATCACAAAACTGTATAACTGTGTAATTGGCTATTAGGTAGATCCCACTTGGTCATTGCTCAATGATCAATGGTTGGTTTCAACACTGATGTAGCAATTCTGCTATCTGCTTGTAAAAAATAACAGTTTGCAGTGATGATTTACCTTGGATCCTGATAGTTATGTGAGATTTTTAAAAGTTTATTGAGTTGGATGTACTTTTATATAAAATAGCAAAGGATCATCTTGCATCCAAATTTAAATATAACCCACAAAAATATGATTTTCAAGCCTTGAACAGAAAAATTTCACTTTTAATTTATTGACATTTGATACTGTATGTATGTTTACAGGTCATACACTCAAGGTGATCAACATGAACCAGCAGAGTGACAGTTCTGATCTCCTGGGAGGGTACGTATCTCATATATATCTGATCTCCTGGGAGGGTACGTATATCATATATATCTGACTCCAGGGAGGGTATGTATATCATGTATATATCTGATCTCCTGGGAGAGTACGTATATCATGTATATATGATCTCCTGGGAGGGTATGTATGTCATGTATATCTGATCTCCTGGGAGGGTATGTATATCATGTATATCTGATCTCCTTGGAGGGTATGTACATCATGTATATATTTCCTGGGAGGGTATGTATATCATATATATCTGATCTCCTGGGAGGGTACGTATATCATATATATCTGATCTCCTTGGAGAGTACGTATATCATGTATATCTGATATCCTGGGAGGGTATGTATATCATATATATCTGATCTCCTGGGAGGGTATGTACATCATGTATATCTGATCTCCTGGAGAGTACGTATATCATGTATATCTGATCTCCTGGGAGGGTAAGTATATCATATATATCTGATCCCCTGGGAGGGGATGCACATCATGTATATCTGATCTCCTGGGAGGGGATGCACATCATGTATATCTGATCTCCTTGGAGGGTGCATGTATCATGTATATCTGATCTCCTGGGAGAGTACGTATATCGTATATATCTGATCTCCTTGGAGGGTATGCACATCATGTATATCTGCTCTCCTGGAAGGATATGTACATCATGTATATCTGATCTCCTTGTAGGGTATGTACATCATGTATATAGTTCCTGGGAGGGTATGTATATCATGTATATCTGATCTCCCGGGAGGGTACGTATATCATATATATCTGATCTCCTGGGAGGGTATGCACATCATGTATATCTGATCTCCTGGAAGGATATGTACATCATGTATATCAGATTTTCTGGGAGGGTATGTACTTCATGTATGCCTGATATCCTCAAAGAATATGTACATCACATATAACTGATTTCCTTGGGGAGTTACATATATGTCTGATAATTTACATCATACATCAGATTTAACCTGTATTTATCTTGAATGTTTGTGTAAACACAGGTTACATGTCTGTCTCGCTGTTATTCTAATGAGTAATTATCTCTGTTACAGATTTAAGCCGGTGGATATGAAGCACGTCATCAGACCTTTTAAGGAAGACTTCGAAATTCTTTTCTGCTCAACATTTTCCAGGAAAGAGAACAGCAAATTTTTGAGTCACATTCAGGTTTGTGGATAATAACAATTACAAGCTGTGAACTTATGTGGGCATGGTATCAGCTTCTTATTATAGCCTATGGGAATCTTCATTATGAACTTCATTGTAAGTGTGATGTCAGCTCAGCATTATGGCCTATGGGAATCCTAATTGAATCCTGGTCCTCTATATACCTAAAAACCATTTGCATGCTAACACCCAGATGATGTGCTCCAATTTAATTCCTAATACCAGGGAGAAAGAAACTTGTTAAGTGTTATACTATTCAATGATTTCTTAGTCAATAGACTAAATTTGAAGCTGAGTGTCATTCTTGTGCTAAATTTTCTTCTCTTTGGTCCCATCACAAGAAATTTGACAGTAAAAAAGGGAGATGGTTAGGGCTCCGATAAGGACTTTGAGTGTGAGAATGGGTTTATGGAAACACATCCTGGTTAATATGTATCTTTATAATTAAATCCTACCCGGTATATACATAGAGACAAGAAATCAACAAGACAAAATTTATAGAGTTGATCATCGCTAACAGCCATCTTCAGGCGATTACTTTTAAGGTTCTTCATACCACTGCCAAAACCTGTGACTAAGTATTGGAATCTGGTTTTCGACTTTTATAAGAAATGATAAAGATGAAGTAACCAGACCTAGTAAGCTAGACCTGGATTCATACCCTCAGCTTGAGACTGCTAAACTATCGCTCTACCGACTGAGCAACCACATTGACGAAAGTGTCCTGGCTCAATTGTTCCCCAGTTATAGCTTAACGGGAGTTAAGGTGAGGTTACTGCATAGAGGAAACACCAAAATGTGATGGGACAGGAACCCTTAATGTCCTGGTAACATATTGAAGTAACATGATATATATATAGATATATATATGGACAGTGAACTGCTGAGACAGTTAATTTATTTAAACTACTGCTTTTCCATATTGTTAATAACTCTGGGTTCCGGGGTTGATTTGTTTCAGGAGTGCTTTGCAAAACAGAAGTGGGAAACAATGCTGACACTGATGGAACACACAATGAAACCTGCCATACAGCGAAGTCGATCAGGTAAGTTGTCACATCTGTCACCTTCACGTCAATATCACACCCATTGGTCAAAGTTCAGATTTAGTATATATACTTGTCCAGGCAAATACATGTTGAACCATTGAAGATGTATCATCGCGGTTTAGGATGAGCTGTTTACCACTTGTAACCCATAAACATATATAGGTCAAGGTGAAATATAAGGGTAAAGATAGTTTGCCTAACTAGACTATAATCTTAATAAAAAATAAAAAAAATAAAGTTCTTAAAACTTCATGTTCATGCTTAAATGTCAAGGTCTCACCTCAAGGACAATGTCAGTGTATTTAGACACCAGTGTCAATACGTTAATGTCAAGGTCAGTACTGTATTAAAAATCAAATGTCAAATCCTCTCTTCAAGGTCAAGGTCACTAGTTATGCCATCAAAGCTAATTTTGTTAATTAACTTTGACCAATTGGTGTGAAATTGACTAATGGAGAGAACCTGTGTATAACATTAGAGATCCGTGTCAATCTGTTGTCATACGAGCAGACAAAGGATGTGAAGAGGAGACCAGTGACCTAAATCTGCGAGTATTGCATCATGTGCCACCTGTAGTATTTGTTGGCTCTTTCATTAAATGAATATGTGCAATTACAGGAAAGGAGAAGAACAAAGACAGCCTTGACCAGTGGCTAGAAGTGAGGCGACACCTACAACAGCTCAAAGTACAGATCAAACAGAAGGAAAATGTTCTCGCCTTTTCCTTCATTGAGGTAAATATTAGAAACAGTGATAAGTAACTCTCAGTACCTTATCTTTACCATTTTATCCCTAGTACTGACTTTTTCAACTCTCAGCCTACTTTACATCATGTTCAGGGCAATCTCCACAGACTCCTTGTCAATCCCTGCCCTATTGATGTCATTTTCAGGGAATTTTTAGAAGTTTAGAATTAACTTCTTTGAATGTAAAAATAATGAAAATCCTTAAATTGCAGTAGCTCACATTTATCATTCCACTAACTCTCATAATTTACTTGAGCTGTTATTTTTACTCGTATTGATCAGGTTTTTCATGAACTTATTCAGAACAGAAAACTGAAGAGTGTTCCTGAATAATGTCTCACATAAAAGACTATAGTAGATCTAGAGGAGAAAGTTAATATGTAACAGTTCTCATATTCTGGCTTTAGATATTTATGTAATATTATTGTTTTGACAGGGTTCCTTGGTGCGAGCTGTGAAGACAGGAGACTGGGTTCTCCTGGACGAGATCAATCTCGCAGCAGCTGAAACCCTGGAGTGTCTGAGTGGACTTCTAGAAAGTAGCACTGGTTCTGTAATCCTCACAGAGAGGGGGTAGGTCTGATATATCTCCCTAACTACTGTAATCCGCACAGAGAGGGGGTAGGACTGATATATCTCACTAAATACTGTAATCCGCATATATAGAGGGGGTAGGTCTGATATATCTCTCCCTTAATACTGTAATCCTCACAGATGTAGGTCTGATATATCTCCCTTAATAATGTAATCCTCACAGAGAGGGGGTAGGTCTGATATATCTCCCTAAATACTGTAATCCTCACAGAGAGGGGTTAGGTCTGACAGATCCCCCTAACAGGACATACAATGTATGCATAACTCAGATGGTAAAATATACAGTCATATGAATATATTTTTTTAAATATACAAGCATATGAATAATTTTGTAAAATATGCACCATTTGAAAACTTATGTGAATAATTTTGTACAATATGCAGACATATGAATAATTTCTATGAGTTTATATAAATACATTCACTGACTTATTTTAATCTAATTTGTGTGACAGGGATGTTGAGCAAGTGGTTCGTCATTCAGACTTTCGCCTATTTGCGTGTATGAACCCAGCCACTGATGTGGGGAAGAAAGACCTCCCGACTGGAATCCGTAACAGGTAGGCCTAGTGGTAGTTCAGTTGTGAAGCTACAATAAGCTGTGGAGCTACAATAAGTTGTGGAGCTACAATAAGTTGCCGGCCAGTGACCATGTAGTACAGTCAGCTAGAATGTTCATCAGTTTAAAGGTGGCAGATTTGAATCATGGTCTGGTCTGTTGCATATTACAACTCATTATGCCCCAATATGAAGTGGTGTTACCCTTTATACATACATATGTCTCGCCAATAAAGTTTTTGTTTTTAGGTCAGTTATTGATGAAGTTCTGTAACTAAGCTCATGCAACTTCACATCCCAATGTGCCTTTATGAGTACAGCATGTTGCAGGACATTTTTGTGACCTTAACCTTTGACCTTGGCCTCTGTGACCTTGATTTTTAGCTCACCTGCCCAAAGGGCTAGTGAGCTTATGCCATAGTGCGGCGTCTGTCGTCCGTCCGTCGTCTGTAAACTTTTCCCTTGAACGACTTCTTTTGAAGAATAGACAGGCCTAGAGTCATGATAATTAGAAGATAGCTTTGTTGGTTAGAGCCCAACAAATTGTGAGAACGAAAATGACCTTGACCTCCTTTCAAGGTCACAGGGGTCAAAAGTGTCAAATACTTAAAACAACTTCTTCTAAGAACTGAAAGGTATAGAATCTTAATATGTGGCTGGTAGCTTCGTTGGTAAAATCCCAACAAAAATTTGAAAGAAAATGGCCTTGACCCACTTCATGGTCACAGGGGTCAAATTTGTCAAACTTATCAAAAAACTTCTTCTGAATAATTGAAATGCATAGAATCATATTATTTGGCTGGTTGCTTTTTGGGATTTAGCCCAACAATGTTTGCATATGAAAACGACCTCAGCCTTCTTTCAAGGTCACAGGGCCAAATATGTCAAACACTGCAAATAACTTCTTCGGAATAATCTTAAGGCAGAGAATTATAATGTTTGGCTGGTAACTGTCAGATAAAGCCTGACAAAGTTGTCTATTGAAAATAACCTCAACCTACTTTCAAGGTCACAGGGGTCAAATATAGCAAAAACTGCAAACAGCTTCACTTGAAGAAATGAAAGGCATTGAGTAGTGATATTTGACAAGTAGCTTATTAGGTGGAGCCCAACAAAGTTTGGGAATGAAAACTACCTTTACCTACTTTTTTATATAGAGTATCCTTGGCCCGACATGATTCAATGTTGTAGAAACCATGCCCCCATCCCAATGGGGACAGGAGAATGGTACCCAATAAAGCAAGGGTGTTGCTGAGAGACAGCCAATATTTGGAAATAAATGTAGTGCAGTATAATATTTATTTAATATTTTGCGTTGACTGCTTAAATATCCAGGTGAGCGATACAGGCCCTCTCCTGGGCCTTTTGTTTTCTAAAGTGTATGAGTCCGTGTCTCACAGACACATTTCTAGTTTTACATTTATTGTTGACCTAGATACACCCTAGGTAGGTTGCATAGGGTCTTGTTTGTCTCAGCATCCAAGATTTGTTGATGAATAGGGGAAAATAGTGGAAGGCGACTGGGTTGATTACAGGTGCTAGTATTACATTTAGCTAGAGCATCTGTCTAGACTAAAGTGGTCTCAGATTTGAATCCTGATTTGACTATTTTATTTTTCTGTTGCTGTTACAGGTTCACAGAACTGTATGTGGATGAAGCAGAGGAATCCCCGGATCTGAAGATAATAGTTAGTGACTATCTGAAAGGATTATCACTGTCTGGAGCACAAATAGATGGAATCGTGAAGTTTTACTTGACAGTACGAGAGCAAGCAGCCAAACATCTGACTGATGGAACAGGTCATAAACCACATTTCAGGTACAGTAATTGATGATAACTCAGAGCAGTGAAGTGTTTTGCATGTTAAAGACTAGCTTTCTGATTTTCTTGTATGTGGACTTCAGCAAATCGAAGAGTTGCAGAACTATATATATATAAAGATGAAAATAGAGATCGTGGAGACTGATAGCTTTTCAATGTGTGGCGCTAACAATATATTTTAGATGATTCGGTTATCCTAAAGTTATGCTATTATAATATATTATTAACCTGTATAACTTAAAGTTAATTGCAGATGTTACTAAAGATATTAAATGTCACTGATAAAAGTTTCTTTCAGTTTCATTTCTTTGGGGGGGGGTAATGATTTTATTCGATGTTTGAAAAATGAATCTCCCAATGTTGTTTTTGTTACATGTTTATTAAGGAATGAAAATATACTGAATTTTGATTTATTTCTTCAATTCCTTCGCAATAAATTAGTAATGTATTATATTTTCTATTTGACCAGTTTGAGAACGTTGTGCAGAGCTCTGAGATATTCTTCTCGGAACCCATGTGGTCTTGTCCTGCGATCTTTGTATGAAGTAAGTCAAATTACACTACTTCAGTTTTGAGGGGTAGTTGTCATGTTGCTTGCTTTTCCTGAAAACAAATTTGTAGGTTTAGAGATCATGCAACACCATCAGTATTCCATGATAGCATGGCAACACATTTTTGGACAAAATATATTTTGTGTACATTTTAATGCTGTGAATATAACAAAAATATGAAATTTCCACAAAACATAAGGACTGTACAGTAGTAAGCTTGTTGTGGTTCTATTCTGAAAATCCTTACCAAATTGTTTTAAGGTAGGGATTTTGTCCAAGATTTCTGACTCAACTGTTTTTGTTGTAGCTTTCTGACTAGCTGTACTTTGTATTGTAAAGTTTGTTTGTATGAAATTCTTACCAAACTGTTTTTAATGTAGGGGTTTTGTCTGAGTTTCCTGACGCAGCTTGACCGAGCCTCACACCCCCTGGTAGAGAAGTTAGTGTGTCGTCACATCCTTGGAAAAACAAACATAAACTCTATCCTCAAGAAAGACATTCCCATGCCTGCTGATGGGAAGTATCAATTTGTGGAGGGATATTGGATATCGGTTGGAGCAGTCAAACCAGTCAATCAGGACAAGTACATATTGACACCCTCAGTGAGAGCCAACCTGAAGGATTTGTCCCGAGTTGTATCTGCAGGGTATGACCATACCTTTCTGTTCTCTATGTTGCGTTTATGGAGATTTCTCCAAGATGTAGAAGTTGGTTATTAACATGTACATGTGACTGAATTGAGTTAATGAATTTTTCAAAATTTCAAAATGCATGGATTAACTAACAGAAGTTAAATAAATCTGATAGCCAATCCTCACATGTTTGGGTAACTTTTCTCTTGTTTCTGTTGTTTGTTAAAATCTGACCTTTATTTCCTAATAGGGTGAGTAATTGCTGTGTAAAATTGTGTCACAATGCCAGTATGTTGTAGTGATGTATTTGTTCAGCGACAAAAACAATTTTACCGCATTACAAAAATGAATTATTAGGTATTAGCACAATATTTATAGCCAGCACTTTAAATATTCAGGAATGAGAAAATGCATACAGCAGTTACTGACAATATAATCATGCTATTGAGGTTCTGGTTCTAGTTCCACGCAAGCATTCTGTTGTTGATAAGAAATTTCCTATAGGATCATTTGTAAAATTCGGGCTAGGCTCTTCACATGTAGGTTAACAAGGGCTGATGCTTTTGACATTTTAAAGATATCTTTGAAGTGCATAATGTATTTAATCATTGGAATGTGTGTTGTTTTTTGTATAGACAACATCCTGTGCTGATTCAGGGCGAAACTTCGGTTGGTAAAACGAGTCTTGTCACATGGCTGGCCCAAACGACAGGCAATATGTGTGTCCGGGTCAACAACCATGAACATACAGACCTACAGGAGTACATTGGCTCCTACTCTGCAGATCAACATGGCAAGCTCGTCTTTCAGGAAGGTTTGTTCCCACCATGTTAAATTTTGTCATATTCCTTAATTGTTAAATAAAAAGTAAAATTATATCCAGTATTCAGATGTTTCATCAGCATATGAATATTGAAGTGTTTTCAATAGTATCATTCTTTATTTCCCTTAGTCATCATTTGAAATTAAAGTAAATATATACATTAAACAATATAATAAGAAAAATTCTTAACACGTCTTTAGCACTTTCATCTCCTCAAGGAGATTCTTCAGACTGTTTGATTTTTTCTTTTAATAATATTTCTACGTCCGTAAGGATTAATTTACAGCTGTTATAATATACATTTAACTATTGATTTAATATAAGAAAATGGTTTTCGAGGAAAACAAAAAATTTAACATGTCAGAAATAAATTATCTCTTGATATCTTTATTAGGTGTGCTTGTGGAGGCTATGAGGAAGGGACACTGGATAATACTGGATGAGTTGAACCTGGCACCTACAGACGTCTTGGAGGCTCTCAACAGAGTAAGTTGAATAATGAATATGCCTAAACAGCAAGGGTAGGATTATGTTAATAATAATGTATTCTCAAGATTGTTACTTGAAAATAAATATTCAGTTTACCCGTAACATAGTAAGTGTCCTTTCCCCCAGCTAACAAATCAGTGCTTAATCAAAAGGAAACTTCGTTGAACTCTTTGCACGGACGTTGGATCTCCCACTCCACGTAAATCAGTGTTTAGTTTGACCTGGACTGGGCGAGTTTATATCAGTGATCAACATGCATGGCCTCAACGGGGAAAGTTATGAGCAACACTTAGTATACATTAAACAGGTCAAAGTAAGTATAAATCAATATTTAGTATTAATTCAACAGCGTTGGAAGAGTATGAATTTGCAACTATATACATATTAATACAGATTTACTGCTTATTCTATAATTATCTGAAATTGTTTACCCCTTTTTGAATTTCCCCTTTTTTGTTCAAGAGCAGAGAAAATGTAGAAATGAAATGTGTCCAAAAATTTCCTGTTAGTATGCCCTCAACAGAGTCGGCACAAATATAAAGTATGCCCTCAACAGAGTCGGCACACATATAAAGTATGGTCTCCAAAGGGTAAACGTACCGTTTTTATTCTGCAATAAGACCAGGGAACCTGCATATTAACTCTTGACTCAAAGGGAATGGACAGTTTATTTAGCATAAATTTCTACTTAATTGTATTTGACATGGATGGGCTTATTGTCAGGCATGGGCTTATTGTCAGGCATGGGCTTATTGTCAGGCATGGACTTAATGTCAGACATGGACTTATTGTCAGACATGGGCTTATTGCCGTATACTATGTTTTGTATGTTCTCCAGCAAGTGATGTTTTTTATTCTGACTTTATTACTAGTATCTATTTTTGATAGTTACTTGATGACAACCGAGAACTGTTCATCGCAGAGACTCAAGACACTGTGAAGGCACACCCAAAGTTCATGTTGTTTGCTACCCAGAATCCTCCTGGCCAATATGGAGGTCGAAAGGTAAGAAAGATGTCACCCTGGTAAAATACTAGCGGCTTCCTACCGACTTGGCTAGGGAGAATTTCTCGTTAGCTCATTCGGTAGAGCAAAAGACTAGTAAGCCAGAGGTCCCGGGTTCGACTCCTAGCAGAGGCTTTGAGACATTAATTACCTCTGATACATATACTTAATCATTTAAGAAAATTCTCTACTTTTCTGAATGGATCATTATCATGATTTTTCATGTACATCACCATGACGACGTCAGATATCAACGTACGATTCAGGATGGACGAAACCTGGATTTCCCAACTTAAGACAGTGGAACCTCTCGGATTGAACCTCTGTCATGGCTAGGACTAAAACTACTAAACCGAAACTCTACGAACAACACTGTCCCTATCAGATGCTCAATATGTCAATGTAAAATTGTTAATGTAAATAACTTTAGAAGACACATGTCGTTGAAGCACAACAACGCACCAACACGTTACAGCTGTAAGATATGTCTCGGGTCTTATTGCCGCAAGGATGTATGCAAAGCGCATATCAACAAAACCCATCCTGGAACGGACCCAAACACCAACATGGAAGAAGATACTCACTATAGCCTGAATTCATTGGCCACTAAACCTACAACCTGGAAACCACCACCAGAAGCAACACTTAAGAATATTCAGCAGGCTAAAGAATATTCAGCAGGCTAAATTTAATATTATTCACGCCACCACAGACTACTCAAGGAAACAACAGGGAGTTTCAATATTACAAAAGGACCTATACCTGAGCGACACCGACTTGGAAGGAAGTACGGACGCCACAACAGAACCTGAACCTACATACAGAATGTACAATTACCTATGTAAAACTGACCTACTCAATACAACATTCTGTCAGGATGAAACACCCGAACCCCTGTGGAACAGGGAGGTGAATGTACACAGAGTATACGGAATATTTAACTCTTTATCAAACATAATGAACACTTTAATAATTTAATCATAGTTTTATAATCCCGTCTTTATTATGTACATTTTTACAAATTCTTTGCTTTGAACAAAGTTACAAAAATGACTTATATTTGTTTCTGCACATCGAGGAATTTATTATAAGTTTGGAAATTGGTTTTGTCAAATTTGTTCGCTGAACTTGGTGAAAAGATTGTTAAGTAGCCCTTCATCAGATGTGGTGATGATCGCAAATTTGGAGTTACACAACTATTTCAACGACCGTTTGGTATATTTTTCTTCAAAGTTTGCTGCTAAAATGTATCAAATGTGGTCGTTTAACATCATACTTTGGGTCAGTAATGGGTGGTCGCTGGTCGCGCCAGACAGATGGTCGCTTAATACAGTTAAATTACATAGTAAAAACATGGGGGGGGGGGATGAAAAGTGGTCACATGAAACAGGTTGTTGTTTAATACAGATGGTTGCTTGAGCAGAATCGACTGTACATGAAAATGAAAATAATTATAGTCAAGGTACTTTCTTCATGTTATTGATTACTTTTGTCTCCATCAGATGCTGTCTCGTGCCTTTAGGAATCGTTTTGTGGAGCTTCATTTTGATCAGATCCCCAGTAAGGAGCTGGAGACAATTCTTCATCAGCGATGTGACTTACCTATGTCTTACGCCAAACGTCTAGTAACAACCATGTTGGACTTGCAGGTATAACCATCATACACTCACAGATGTATGAACATCATATTCACAGATGTATAAACATCATATTTACAGATGAATAAACATCATACATATTCACAGATGTATGAACATCATACACTCACAGATATAGGAACATCATACATATTCACAGATGTATGAACATCATACACTCACAGAAGTAGGAACATCATACAGTCACAGATGTATGAACATCATACACTCACAGATGTATGAACATCATACACTCACAGATGTAGGAACATCATATTCACAGATGTATGAACATCATGCATATTCACAGATGAATGGACATCATACATATTCACAGATGTATGAACATCATACATATTCACAGATGTATGAACATCATACACTCACAGATGTATGAACATTATCCATATTCACAGTTATATAAACACCATACAGATTCACTGGTATGCATACAGCCATACATTTTCTTTTCTCTCTTTCTATTCTTCCTTTTGGGCAGTATCTATCTATACAACTGTCTTCATATGAGCTTATACTTTGCGTGGATGTAAAGTCCCATGCAACCATACACTCACAGGTGTATAAACACATGATATCACAGCTGTATGCCCATACACAGGCAACATTTCTTGGTGTCAATTTTAGGTAAAGTTTAGGTCAATATCAGGCGAGGATTTGTTCAGGTCAAATCAACATCAAGAAATATTGGTTGTGTTTGAACAACATACTTATTCACAGGTGTATGAATGTCATACAGACTCACAGGAGTATGAATATCATCAAAATTTATTTGTGCAGGACCATCGTAAAATTTTTACGGTGTATGTTCATCATAAAGACTCGCAGGTGTATGAACACTACACACTTTTTGTTTCTATTTCAGACAAGGAGAAGAGGATCCGGGGTGTTTGCCGGTAAACAAGGCTTCATGACACTAAGAGATCTGTTTAGATGGGCCGAGAGGTACAAATGTAGGAATGTTGACAATAAACACAAGAAGTTTTATGACTGGGACCAGCACATGGCTGACCATGGTGAGAGCCTTTTCTCTCATTGCACTGGGATTAATTTGTTGTACTGACCACAGTGGGAGTGTTTATAAACTTATCATGCGTAATTTACAAAATAAAGTACATGTTGAACTTATAGGCCAAATGTATTAAGCCTAATGCTACAGTATCAGCTGTTATTTGACATCATACCACCACAGACAGTTTTGTCCACTGTGTACGCAGTCCTGGGCCCTTTTTCATGAAACCGTCCTTATGCTCCAGAATGAATTTTGTGCTCGAGACTTATAACTTGCTCCAGCTATAAATCGATAAATATCTTATTTTGTCAATCATTTGGAAACTTTTTTAAGAAACTTAAAAGCTGAATACTGTTTCAATTTTCATATTTTACTTTTTGATCGTTTGACATGATTTAAGTGATTTACAAGAAAGTTGGTTTGAGCACAGAATCCATGTTTGAGCATGAGAATGTTCCATGAATACATGCCTTCATGTAGTGTGTGTTAGGTTATCTGTCTGAAGATTAAGAAAAGTTATCACATATACTGAAACATAGTATTGTTATGCATACTACAGTTTGTGAAATGATAATGCATTTCTGTGCATGAATGTTATAGAATATATGTACATGTATTTATATATCATACATTATATTATAAAAGCAGAAAAAATATCCTTACAGACGCAGAAATAATATAAAAAGAAAAATTCTCAACAACGAGTCTTTAGTACTTTCATCTCGTCAAGGAGATTCTTCAGACTGTTTATTTGAAGTAGATATTGTGTCGTCATAAAATATGATGTCATATAATAGTTCGCTATAGCGACGTCCGCTAAATACGTACCCACCATAGCGAATTTAACAGCAATAAAAATACATAATTATGGTCTTAAGGTAAAGAGTACTACCTGGTATTTGTTTAGGATTTAGAATTACTATTACATGTAATACTATTATTTATAAAAAAAAAAAAAATATTAAAAATATTCTCTGGACCAGCACATGACTGATGTCATATATATATTTATAAACATTAAATCTTGCTGTTGATATATAGACTTTTAGGCTAAATGCTGTTGACTTTGTTCTAACAGTTGTGTTAATGATTTAAAGGTTACATGTTGCTGGCTGGAAGGGTCAGACGACCCGAGGAAGTGACCTTGGTATTAGAGGTCATTCAGAAGCATCTCAAACGTCCAGTAGACCCAGACAAGCTGTTCACCCTGGGGCCAGATACCTCGCCTACAACTGTGAAGCTTTTACAGGAAGTGACGCATCAAACGGTCTCGGAGTTTGGTCACATTGTATGGACCTACAATATGAGGAGACTGGCTGTTTTGATTGGACAGTCCATACAGTTTAATGAGCCTGTTCTCTTGGTGGGGGAAACAGGGTAAGATTTTGTACAACTACAATGTGAGGAAGCAGGGTTTTCTGATTAGACAGGCCATGTTTAATGAACCTGTTCTAGTAGTGAGGGAAACATGGTAAAGTTGTATACATGAAGAACATGAGAAGGCACGCTGTCCTTATAGGGAAGGCCATAAACGTTCAATGTGCCTGCTCTGTTGGTGGGGAAACGGGGTATGAATGATACAATAAACAATATCACACATACGTTATTATCTTTTGTTAAAGATAACTCAGTTATATTGTGAAGCCAGAGGTTGATATATACACAGGTGCCCTTCACACACAAAGATATGCAAGTGTCTGTGCTTGAAGTGAGTGCCATCACAACTTCAGATAAATATAACGGAGTGTTGTTGTTAAAATGCTTACAAGTGTTCATTATGTAAACAAATTCTGTATCAAAGTTACTGATTGATACTTATTGATTGATTAAACATATTGCCTTATTGTCAAAAAGTGCCAAATATTCAAACATTATTCAAGTTTCAATTGATAGATTTTGTTCAGTGAATAACAACTGATGAGCTCTAGAAATGTTATACAAAATGTTGAATTTTTAAATTTTATTGTTCTGGTTGATGTAAAAAATGTTTGAAGCTTTGAGACTGAGGCTTCAAGATTGTTTGGTATTAGTCTTTCTTGACAAGAAGTCTTGTTGTTGAATCCTGGATTCATCGTACCAGGAAAATAACAGAAAATTTTCCTGCACCGTTGTTGTATGCTATCCACAGGTGTGGGAAGACCACTGTCTGTCAGCTGTATGCTGCTCTGAAGAAATCCAAACTCCGCAACATCAACTGTCATCTCCACACAGAAAGTGCAGACTTCCTCGGAGGTTTACGACCCTGCAGGTCACATGACCAAAACCAGGTATGTGGTTGTCTCAAAATATTTGTAACAGTCTTGAGATCAGTATGTGTAGCATTCAACTTTCATTTTCCCTATACTTAAGCAGAGAAAGGATGTTGAGTTATGGAAGTTTGATTACGTTTAATTCTTCCTATGTTTAACACAGGTAAAAGATTTAAATTCATGCTGTCTTAATCTAGTTTCCCATTTCATGTAATTTACAAGAGCGGAAGGTGTGAATTCTGGCTATCTGATACAAGTGTCAGTCTTTCCCTTTATGTACATACACATGGAGAAGAAAGAAAGATCAGGCTGTGTAACATAAGTTTTACTTGCTCTATATTTTATACAGGGAGAACATGGTGTCGCCATACAGTGGGATATAAGTTTCACTTTCCCTATATTTTATACATGGGAGAGCATGGTGTTGCCATACTGTGTAATATAAGTTTCACTTTTCCTACATTTTACACAGGGAGAAGGTGGTGAAAGGAAGCTGTTTGAGTGGGTGGATGGGCCACTGGTAATTTCAATGCGGGAGGGTTCTATGTTTCTGGTGGATGAGATCTCCTTAGCAGATGACTCTGTTCTGGAGAGGCTGAACAGTGTTTTGGAGCCAGAGAGAACTCTTCTCCTGGCAGAAAAGGGAGGTGGAAACAGTCACCATGATGAAGTGGACAGTGTGGTTGCTAAGAAGGGGTTCCAGATTTTTGCAACAATGAATCCAGGAGGAGATTTTGGGAAGAAGGAGGTAAAAATAATACCTGGTAGTTTTAAATGGGAAAAAAAAATGCTTTCGTGTGTCCCTATTCATGATCAAATGATTCAGGTTGTGTAGAAATTTTCCACATTAAATGAGTGCACTTTGACTGGAACAGTAGACAGAACTACAAATGCACAGTTTCAGAGTTTTAAGACAAATAGTAAAATGTATCAAGAAAAATATGTATTTTTTATGTGTACAATTTTATAACATTTTCAGAAATATACATGTGAACCAACCTTGATCTATGCAGGTATAAAGGCAAATTGGTGATAGTCAGCATTTTAGTTTCAGTCAGGAACATCTGAACCCCTTGATGTGTATGTGCCAAGTACCTGAGCCTGTCATTTTCATTTTAGGTTCAGCTGTTGAATCGGTTGAACTAAAGATGTTGAAAGGGCCCTATATTGTGATTTTGAAAATTTTCAAAGAGGTCTTGACACCTGTGTTTTGTAGTTATCTCCTGCCCTGAGAAACAGGTTCACAGAGATATGGTGTGCCCAGACTGAACAAAGTCAGGACCTGGTAGACATTGTAGAACACAATCTAAAGAGTGGTATACACCTGTGTAACCAGGAGGACGGTACCAGTGGCATTGGGCGAGCAATGATGGACTTTATACGCTGGTTCTCAAACAACGATATTGCTAAAAGGTACAGTAGACCCGACACACTCTGGTACTCCATTGACCACATCAGAATGTTCATGTAATGTTGGCATATTTCCTGTTGCAAACAAGTTAAAGATGTTGAAATGTGGTTACCTGAAGTTACCAGTAATAATGGTAAATAATATACAACATCTATATAGCACCCTAATATACAACATCTATATAGCACCCTATATAATTTGTAAAATTACTCGATAGCACTTATGGATGATAGTATTAGTTATAATTATGAAACAAAAAAAAAAGGCTTACAATCACCTTTATACATTAAGCAAGCAGATAATCATTGCTATGTGCACATGAATGAATAAATGAAGGGAAAACAGTGAAAAACATTGATATATTTTCGTGCTTGAAGAATATATTAATATGATTCTGTGCCACAATATTTTGATTCGTAATACATGTATCATTTATAGGGGCAGGTATTGCAAATGAATTTCATATTGCAATACATTGTTATGTTTTAGCAAATATTGCAATTTCTTACATACTTACTAATAAATACAGGATTTTTGTATATGCGATACGACACAATAGCTCTAACCAATATCAGCCCTCGCCGTATCACACCCCAAAAGTCGTATCGGCCCCCGCCGTATCACACCCCAAAAGTCGTATCAGCCCCCGCCGTATCACACCCTAAAACCTGTATCACCCCTTTTGGAAATTTTTCGTTTTTCAATATTTCAAAAGGAACATAGATCGTAAAATAGTAGCTTTTATTAGTTATTTTAAAAGTATGTAATAAACAGAATAAAACACGCCTTTTTCCATATCACACCTAGTATCAACCCTCGACCAGAATCAGCCCTCGGGCTGATATTGCAGTCTCGGGTTGATACTTGGTGTGATATGGAAAAAGGCATGTATTATTCTTTACATATCACACACTTTAGTACATTTTATATTATTCAGCAAGCTTCAGTGATATATATATATATATGCTTTACACACTGACATTATTGATGAGAAGGATTTTGATAAAATAAAAAAATTGTTAACTTCTCTTCTTTGCATTGCTTAAAATAGATCACCAAGGCATGATATGCATCAGAAAATGAGTTTTACATTCACGAGTTCTGCATCAACACTGCTATGGCCTATATTACTGTAAAGAAAGCAATATCCTAAGATATTTAACATTAAGATACAATTTCTGGTCATGATACACTTTATGGTATGTTACCTGAAGCTAACGACTATTAACAGGTGCACTGTGAGTATACGAGACATTCTGTCCTGGGTTCACTTCATCAACACATGCTCAAAGACACTGGACGAGGAAGGCATGGAGACGGATGACCATAACTACAACAAGCTGGACCCTGCTCTGGCCTTCATACACGGGGCATGTCTTGTGTTTCTGGACGGGCTCGGCTCAGGTACAGAGACTTTTACCTTATCAGTAGTTGTATATGTATATCTGTAATTTAATAATTTCATACTTTATGTAGTAATGGGGATATTTAATCCATGATTTTCTGTAGAAGTTTGGAATTTAATTTATGAAGCATCATTGTTTGTATACATGCAGGAACCACGAGTCGAGGAAACGATGCAGATATACGGTACGTACGCGACCTGGCTCTCAAGTTTCTTCTTAAGCTGGTCAATCACATGACCCACCAGGTATACAGTCTAGCCACGCTAGGCCTTATTGACTGCACCGGTCAGCCCAAGACGGAGTCTTTCTCCAGCCTGACCACCACTGGACACTCGGAACTGGACGATGCTGTCCAGACAACAAACACCCAGTTCTGCATACATCCTTTTGCCATCAGTCGAGGTATGTACACTCTTTAGTCTGTTAGACTGAATGTCATCTGCTACAACTGTCTGTGGTGTTAGTGGTGTGTGGGACTTCACAACTGCAAAAGGATCACTGTATAATGTGTTCTTCAAAAACACTAGTTGATATACGTACAGTACAAGTAGTGCACTTCACAAATAGTACTGAGTACAAATGCTACATGCATTGACACAATATTACACAAATAGAGGTATACATATTGACTACAGAATTTGATGTTTATAACTGATCATTATCGTGAATTCCAACGAGTTGATGGTGATTGTGCTTTGTTTACTGTGGTTGATGAAAATAGTTCTTTGTTTGATAGGGGTTGATGATAATAGTTTTTTGTTTGATAGGGGTTGGTGATAATAGTTTTTTGTTTGATAGGGGTTGATGATAATAGTTGTTTGTTTACTATGGTGGGGGAAATTAGTTGTTTGTTTGATAGGGGTTGATGATAATAGTTGTTTGTTTACTATGGTGGGGGATATTAGTTGTGTGTTTGATAGGGGTTGATAATAATAGTTTTTTGTTTACTATGGTGGAGGATATTAGTTGTTTGCTTGATAGGGGTTGATAATAATAGATGTTTGTTTACTATGGTGGGGGAAATTAGTTGTTTGTTTGATAGGGGTTGGTGATAATAGTTTTTTGTTTGATAGGGGTTGATGATAATAGTTGTTTTTTTACTATGGTGGAGGATATTAGTTGTTTGCTTGATAGGGGTTGATAATAATAGATGTTTGTTTACTATGGTGGGGGAAATTAGTTGTTTGTTTGATAGGGGTTGGTAATAATAGTTGTTTGTTTACTATGGTGGGGGGTATTAGTTGTTTGTTTGATAGGGGTTGATAATTATAGTTGTTTGTTTACTATGGTGGAGGATAGTAGTTGTTTGTTTGATGGGGGTTGATGATAATAGTTTTTTGTTTGATAGGGGTTGGTGATAATAGTTTTTTGTTTGATAGGGGTTGGTGATAATAGTTTTTTGTTTGATAGGGGCTGATAATAATAGTTGTTTGTTTACTATGGTGGAGGATATTAGTTGTTTGCTTGATAGGGGTTGATAATAATAGATGTTTGTTTACTATGGTGGGGGAAATTAGTTGTTTGTTTGATAGGGGTTGATGATAATAGTTGTTTGTTTACTATGGTGGGGGAAATTAGTTGTTTGTTTGATAGGGGTTGGTAATAATAGTTGTTTGTTTACTAGGGTGGGGGATATTAGTTGTTTGTTTGATAGGGGTTGATAATAACTCTGTACCTATTGGGTGGTAGCTGTGCTCTACTGATATATACCACCTTCTCTGGGTATAGTTAGCTGGGTGCTAAATGTAACTGGAAAGAAAAACTGCAACAGTCAGACTGTGATATACGACCAGGACCTCTGAACTTAGACAGATACTTAAAGCAATTAGCAGCTCTCTGTGGGCCAATCCAGTTACGCTATAATTAGGTGCCACAGAGGCTGAGTGGTTAAGGCAGCTTACTGTCTATGATCACTAGACCTCCACCACTGGGTCCTGAGTTTGAGGCCTACGTAGGGCAGTCACCAGGAACTGGCTGCAAGTGGACTCAGGGTTTCCTCCACCAACAAAACCTGGCTCATCATTAAATGACAAAATCTGTTAATAGGACATTAAGCATAAACAAACCAAACACTGCAATTAGAGAATTACAGAAAAATTGGCCAGATATTATCATATTCCATATACATGCAGGCAGGAATACGAGGAACAATAATACAGTATGAAAAATAACCCAAACTACTCATCTTCGTTTCTTTCGACCAAAGGTATGAAGAGGTATGAGGATGGCGACGGGTACGCCCTCAAGGCACCCACTACATGTGTGAACGCCCAAAGGATACTGCGAGCCCTTCAGCTGACCAGACCTCTGCTGCTAGAGGGGTCACCAGGAGTTGGCAAGACTAGCCTGGTCGCGGCGATAGCCAAGGCAGCAGGTCAGGAACTCGTCAGAATCAACCTGTCCGAACAAACGGTGAATATAGCATTGGATATTTCTTGTATAAGTTTTAGAGGGCACATTGTGAAATGCTACAAATAAAAAATGTTTTGATATTCAGTAACGTAGGTCTCTAAAATATTACCTAGTATATACATTTGACTTTATCGAAATGTCCAAACAGATGTCTCATCATAACTTATGAAGTAAATTTTTGAAGCTTTACATAATATTTTATGTATACTGCATTTATTCTATTATTATTCTGTTTCAAAATAGGGGGTGGACTTATTAAAGGACACTTATATAGTATTTATCAGAAGTTCTACTGAACTGCTATAGATCTAAGAATGGGCTTATGGCCAGGCATGGTCTTATTGCTGGATAAATATGGTAATTAGTAATTATTCTGAAAGTGGATTGATTCAGGTGTGACAATGAAGTAACATGCATGTGTGTGACTATTTTAGGATGTGACCGACCTGTTTGGTGCTGACCTACCTGTGGAGGGACAGGAGGGGGGAGTATTTGCCTGGAGGGATGGTCCTCTCCTACAGGCTCTGAAGGCTGGTCATTGGATTGTACTAGATGAGGTAACAATACATTAAACAATGGTATTTTGTTTAATTTTGTTAAATTAAAGAGACGTTTACAATCATTATATTTTGTCAAACAATTTGTATTTAGTCAATTCATATAACAGTATTTCAATTCATATGCTTAGGTTTTCCCTGTTATGTACCGTATGGGGACTTTCTATAAAGTTCCCGATCATAAAATGAAGGCTGATGGTGATATTTTGTGGTTAACCACTCATAACTCTAGTCACCAACCATTCAGCAATTACTATGCTGTTAACCCTTTCATCTCTATGTAACTTAAATAGACTCTTGAGTATTGATCTTGATGTGTCCATTATGGTCTACATTGGTGAAAGGGTTATATTGACTGGACAGAAGCGTGTAAAATGTACATGTATTTCAGCTGAACCTAGCTTCCCAGTCGGTGTTGGAGGGTCTAAATGCTTGTCTAGATCACAGAGCTGAGGTGTATGTACCAGAATTAGGACAGACTTTCCACATACAACATGACAAGACAAGGTTGTTTGCCTGTCAGAACCCACTGAATCAGGGAGGGGGCAGGAAGGGGCTTCCAAGATCCTTCCTGAACAGGTTTACACAGGTGAGTGGAAGTATGTGTAAAAAGGGGTTACCTAAGCCCTTTGTAAAAAGGTTTACACAGATAAATAGGAAGAGGGGTAGAAAGGGGTTACTCAAGCCCTTCGTCAAATGGTTAACACAGATGAGTAGGCAGAGGGGCAGAAAGGGGTTACCCAAGCCCTTCATAAAAATGTTTACACAGATGAGTAAGGAGAGGGGTAGACATGGGTTACCCAAGCCCTTCATAAAAAGGTTTACACGGATGAGTAGGGAGAGGGGTAGAAAGGGGTTACCCGAGCCCCTAATAAAAAGGTTTACACAGATGAGTAGGAAGAGGGGTAGACATGGGTTACCCAAACCCTTCTTCAATGGTTTACACAGCTTAGTAGGGAGAGGGTTAGAAAGGGGTTACCCAAGCCCTTCATCAGAAAGGTTTACACAGATGAATAAGGAGAGGGGTAGAAGGGGGTTATCCAAACCTTTCCTCATAAGGTTTACACAGGTGAGTAGGGAGAGTGTAGAAAGGGGTTACCTATATGCCATTTCTCCATGGGTTTACACAGATGAGCAGAGGTCCGTCCTCAAACGGATTGTAGGGTTAAGTGGAGAACCAGGAAGGGGGCAAGAGGTACATATTTTACAGGTGTTTTGTATGATTATATTCATAATGTAATATATATCTGGCCACTGTGTACACTAAATGGTTATCAATGTTAATTTATAAGTGTTGATTATTTGGTATACCACTTTTACAGGTGTATGTTGAACCGCTGACAATGGCCGACCTGACCTTCATTTCCAGGACCATGTACCCCAGTATACCTCCAGACCTCCTCACTCACATGGTCACGTTCAACATGCAGGTTTGTTAGAATCAGTTACATTTGTTGTAATGGTAGTTATAGCTAAATATACAGAAGTCTGATTGTTATGGTTTCATTACAACATATATAGTGTACTGTACATTACAGAGTATATAGTGTATTGTACATTACAGCATATATAGTGTACTGTACATTACAGCATATATAGTGTACTTCACAGTACAGCATATATAGTGTACTGTACATTACAACATATATAGTGTACTGTACATTACAGCATGTATAGTGTACTGTACATTACAGTGTATATAATGTACTGTACATCACAGCATATATAGTGTACTGTACATTACAGCATATATAGTATACTGCACATTACAGAGTTTATAGTGTACTGTACATTACAACATATATAGTGGACTGCACAGAACAGCATATATAGTGTACTGTACATTACAGAGTATATAGCGTACTGTACATTACAGAGTATATAGTGTACTGTTCATTACAAATTATATAGTGTAATATACATTACAGAGTATATAGTGTACTGTACATTACAGCATATATAGTATACTGCACAGTACAGAGTTTATAGTGTACTGTACATTACAGCATATATAGTGTACTGCACAGTACAGCATATATAGGGTACTGTACATTACAGAGTATATAGTGTATTGTACATTACAGCATAAAGTGTACTGTACATTACAGCATATATGGTGTACTGTACATTACAGCATATATAGTGTACTGCACAGTACAGCATATATAGTGTACTGTACATTACAGAGTATATAGTGTATTGTACATTACAGCATATATAGTGTACTGTACATTACAGCATATATAGCGTACTGCACAGTACAGCATATATAGTGTACTGTACATTACAGCATATATAGTATACTGCACATTACAGAGCTTATAGTGTACTGTACACTACAGCATTTATAGTGTGCTGTACACTACAGCATTTATAGTATACTGTACATTCCAGCATATATAGTGTACTGTACATTACAGTATATATAGTATACTGCACATTACAGAGTTTATAGTGTACTGTACACTACAGCATTTATAGTGTACTGTACACTACAGCATTTATAGTATACTGTACATTACAGCATATATAGTGTACTGTACATTACAGTATATATGGTATACTGTACATTATCTAATTGATTGATATCAAAGTTTTATTTATACACAAAAAATGTATGTATTAAACATGTCGCAATGTGTTAAGACTGACTGGTCCCTTTGTCCATAAAATATATATTTTCTATAAATCCCATGAATAATAAAAGTTGTATATAATATTTTATTTCCTCTAGATCCATCAGGAAATCACAGTTGACAAGAGCTGGGGTCAGAAGGGCAGTCCCTGGGAGTTTAACTTGAGAGATCTGTTCCGATGGTGTGATCTACTCTGTCACAGTCAGGTACAAGCCATTCTTTCATACAGTTTGAGAGAATTTCATTAAATTTCATGTGTACCTGTTTCATCCCTAGATGGTATGTTGCAGATGCTAAAAATGTTTACCTTCAAGGTTAAAGTCAAATGTGATATTTTCCCTGACCAGATCAAACATTATCAGAAAATTCTGGCCCCAAATTCTACATCTCCAGATAAAATTTCTATGTTTCTGGTAACTACCTCTTCGGAACTCTGTTGATCTGACAGTACCATGGTAATGAATCAATGTAGAAAAATATTTTATTCACAATATCTATATGCACATGTGACCTGCAGGCTGTAAGTGGATTCAACCCTGGAGAGTATGTGGGACTGCTCTACAGAGAGAGGCTGAGGACTCTACAGGACAAAGACAAGGTAGGCCCTACTATACTGTAGGTGTAGACTAAGGACACTGCCGGACATAGACCTTTTAAGTAATGGCTGAATGTGATTTAACTGTAGGGAAATTAAAGGTATTTTTGTAATAGTGATGATAAATTTATCAAAAGGTTCTTTTCTGATTATTTCCACTGTGAATTTCAACTTAAACTAGCAAAGTTTCACTAAATCACAATATGCATGCATAAGATGACTTGCCAGGTATTCAAGTCGAGTTGTGATTGTTGGGTTTTGTTTTTGTCAGGGAAGATGATTTTAGACATGAATCGACACGATCACTAGGCAAATCTGGCCCTTTATGATATGACAATACCATTGAGTGTGAGAAAACTCTGAAATAGCCTGTTAATGTACTGTCCCTGCTTTCACCTGGTCTGTTTTAACTATAGGCATACAGGAAGACATTATATATAGACACCCGATTCTTGTATACACCTCGTATAGTAATGGTCATATATGATTTTAATGTAGGTGAAGGACCTGTACGAGAAGACATTTCCAGACAACTTAACGTTCTATACACCCAGTAGATATGTAACCATATCCGACAGTGTAATACAGGCAGGCCACTCCTTTCTACCCTGTGAAGAGTATGTGTCAAGGGAGACAACTCGGTCCCTATACCTCCTTCATCACCTGTTAGAACCAATGGAAGCAGTGATGAAGTGTGTCCAGATGAATTGGATGTCCATTCTGGTAATATTTATGACATATATACATAAAGTACTTCTGTAATATCTTACAGTGTAGACATAACTATTTGTTAAATTCTACGAAATGTGAATTTGTTCAGAATTGAAAAGATTTACTAGAGACAGTTCTACCAGACAGTTTGTTGATTGATCTTTGTTATTTCCTTTGTCCCATTGTAAATGTTAGGCCAAATATTCAGAAATAGTAATTACATATTGAAATGAACACATTAAATGTGGTAATTTAAATTTGTCTACAGGTTGGGCCACAGTCCTGCGGTAAGACCAGCCTAGTCCAGCTACTGTCCAGCTTGACCGGTCATCACCTGCATGTTCTGGCAATGAACAGTGCCATGGACACCACAGAGCTGCTGGGTGGATTTGAACAGGTTTAGTATGATACTTCAGTAACACAATACTGCTGTACAATGTGTGGATTTCAATGTGTTATACAATAACTAAAGTGATCACCATACATCAACTGTACTGCTGTATAGTGGGAAATTTTCGCCAAGTTAAATTTCCCCCTGCAACGGTAAAACACATATTTGCCAAGTTTAAAATTTGCCCTTTACATTTATTTACAATGTGTATTATGTTGTTTATGAATGTTTGCTGTAATGATAAATTGACCCTCACTTAGTAGGGCAAAAAAGGCAAAAATTTAACTGCAACAACAAATTTCCAGTGTACAGCATCCCTGGGCCAACATTGAACCAAGAAGAGGAGCTTATCTTTATCGCTGAGACAGGCGTTGCCAATGTACTTACTGACTACCTTTCTGTTATTGTAGGCTGACATACAGAACCATGTAGAGAAACTTATCTACCGAACCGAGTCTGTGGTCTCCAATACCACCATACTGCTGCTTCAAGGTCAACAGGTCGACATGGCGGGGAAGCTGCAACAATCCTGGAACAGCTTCAGGCAGCATGAGGATACAGGTGGGAACATCAGGGATATGTGGAAATGATTATTTTCCTGATTGCTTCATTGGGTATCCAGTGATGGATTAAAGTTATACCTCCTACAGGAAAATCACATTTCTTAATTGGTCGAATTCAGTCACATGACCCAACATTAATTCCAAGGTCTGGCTTACCATGTGACAGATTTTTTTTTTTTATCTCAGTCGTTAACATTAACACCTTGATATTGACCTCAAAATCCAAAGTGTGGGTAAATGTTATGATGACAAAGTTGGAACATCAAGAGCCTTCACTTGCTTGCATCTTGCAAAAATGCAGACACAATCTACTGGTGATTGTGTTACCTCATATCAAAGTCTCTCAGCAGAGACAGTCGTTGTCCTGCTCTGAGACTTTGATATGAAGTAAGTGGGGTATAAACCTTTTCAGTAAAACAAAACAGTTTACTCCAGTAACGATCAGTATGCTTAAAGTAAGACTCTTGACCACCTGCCTTATCTGCATAATCTGACCACTGCCTTACTACCTTGCTCAGTTGACTTAGTATTGTTACATCTAAATTCAATGGTGATATTAGCCAAATATTCTCAATAACCATTTGTTCAACCCTTTCAATTTTAGTTCAATTCGCCAACAAAACAAGAATTAGGATTTTTACATGATTCATTGCATTCTGTAATTATAATATGTTAGAAGACTAGAGCAATTTTGCTGTTTCAGAGTCTGGAACAAAACTGTCCAGTGTGGAGGAGCTACAAGCTGTCAAGGTCAGGGTCACTCGTCTGTCTGAGGTCATCAGTACTATACAACAGTCTCTTCAGACCCAGACATCTGACAAAGGAGCTGGTGAGGATGTAACAAGGCATTTTACTCAGATTGCTCAATATTTTTTCTTATGTATCTAATGAAACTTTATTTAACACAACTAGACGGGAGTTGTTTTACTTGTAATATTACAGTTAGGATTTATCATCATCCTCATATAATGTATTACAGGTAATTATTACTGCATGCCTATGTAGACATGTAGGTTGATGAGAAGTCTCCATGTTGTATGTATTGTATGGTACTACAAACCTACATGGACAAAATGTTTCAGAGATGACTCACCTAAATGGTGGTGCATAAAGTATACTATGATATACATTTCTCACATTTCCCCGTGTGTAAGATAGAGTTGTCCAGGGTAAGATAGGGGTGTAGGAAATTTCTATCTTACACCCCATTTCTTGTGAGGTGACGTCACAAATTTCATTAAATTTCATGTGTACCTGCAGAAAAGGCAACGTGATGAAATTAAAACCTTTTACTATATATTAACCGTACTCGTTACAAAGATGTGATTAATTTTTCTGCGCAATACTGTTTGCAAATATGGGATATGCTTAATCTGGCTGGCTGATTCGTTTTCGTCTAAAAAGCTTTAAAAAGGAGGGGGGGGGGATTGGTATTTTCAAAATGGTGGCCAGTCCAAATGCATTTTCATGGTTTCTGGGCATATTCTGGTTGTTGGAATGAGAGAAAAATACCCTTTCATGCCCAAGGGTGTAGGATAGGGACATTCCACCCTCGGGATTTTCAAATTTGGCAAAACCCTCTGCAAGTTTGAAAACCCCTCGGGTGGAATTTCCCTTTCCTACACCCCTGGGCATGAAAGAGTCTTATATACTTCATCCTGAAGAATATGTTCTGAGATTCCATAATTTTGTCATTAATTAACCTATATGTAATTTAATATTGATGGATAAAGACTTTGTTCACATCCTGTATTTATTCTTACTTTGATGACTGACATTTCAATTTTCTTTCAGAATTTTTGAAGACTGTAACAGACCTGGAGTCAGATTTGACAAAGATGACCTCTAAGTTGGCCTTGACCTCTGTGGGGACAGGTGGTGGGGCGTTTGAGTGGATTGACAGTGTGCTGGTGCAGGCTTTACAAGCTGGTCACTGGCTACTCGTTGACAATGTCAACTTCTGCAGGTATGAATCTACTGTTTACTGTATACCATGAAATTTTCTCCCACTAAAACATTTTCCTTTCTCCCATAGACTCAATTTTCACCCAGTGCACCTTTTTCGCCTTTCACATGAAACTACTATGTGTATTATGTTTTCTACCTAAATTCTCTGTAACGATAGTACGCCCTTATCAGGGAGGGTGAAAGCACGAATACAAAACCTGCTGCAAAAAAATCTTGATGTACTGTTTATCTTTTGTATATATAGTGGTTCTCCAACACACGCTCATTACATAGGATTTTGAGGAAATGAGCTGCAAGGCACATGATATAACAACATTTGGATGTCATGCTCAGCAAGCTTCAAAAAAATCAAATCAAATGGAAACAAGGGTTCAAATTCTGTTGATCATAGAATCTACTCGTGTGTAAAATAGGGCATTTTGTCTCAAAATCAAGTACAAAACACCACCTTTTTAGCATTTCTCCACATTATATTTTCTGAAGGTTGCATTAAACATGAATGGGAAATTCCTGTGAATTGCAGTAAATAAAAGCTGGATCATAAGAGGGCTACTCCCATAACACATATTATCCTCCCAGGATTCCAGGTTTTATTTAGAGGAACTACCCATAAAATGTAATGAATAATTTACATGGAAGTAATAGGCAGTAAACACACCCATAGATACTGGTGTTTATTTGATGCCCAAGTGTCAAGTAGAATTTCTAATGAAATAACTGTGATAAAACAGTGTTAAAATGATAACAGTGTTACTGTGGGCCCTTTTGCATTTCCGGTTCAACCGGTTTGTCTGTTTTTGAATGTAGCATTTTCGGGTATAAATCTTGGCAGGCCTGCAAATGTTTATGCAGGCCTTGTAAGGTTTTGTCAAGATCAGATTACTAGGTCCAACCTTATGTCATAAATGAACAACACTGGTCCAACTAGTTCAACCGTTTTTATTGCGATAAACGAATGCGACCTATGCAGTACAGTTATTTAATGCTAATTATGCTATTTTGAATAATTTTTCAGTGCCTCTGTCCTAGACAGACTGAACGCCCTGTTGGAGCCGCATGGTGTCCTCACCATCAATGAAAGAGGAGTTATCGATGGTGCCATCCCCACCATCACACCACACCCAGACTTCAGGTCAGTATTGGTGCAGTAGATATCCCTACCATCACACCACACCCAGTCTTCAGGTCAGTATTGGTACAGTAGATATCCCTACCATCACACCAGACCATGACTTCAGGTCAGTATTGGTACACTAGATACCCCTACCATCACGCAGCACCCAGACTTTAGGTCAGTATTGGTACACTAGATATCCCTACCATCACACCACCCCCAGACTTCTGGTCAGTATTGGTACAGTAGATACCACTACCATCACCCCACACCCAGACTTCAGGTCAGTATTGATACACTAGATATCCCTACCATCACACCACCCCCAGACTTCTGGTCAGTATTGGTACAGTAGATATCCCTACCCTCACACCACACCCAGACTTTAGGTCAGTATTGGTACACTAGATACCCCTACCATCGCACCACACCCAGACTTCAGGTCAGTATTGATACACTAGATATCCCTACCATCACACCACCCCCAGACTTCTGGTCAGTATTGGTACAGTAGATATCCCTACCATCACACCAGACCATGACTTCAGGTCAGTATTGGTAGACTAGATACCCCTACCATCACACCACACCCCGACTTTAGGTCAGTATTGGTACAGTAGATATCCCTACCATCACACCACACCCAGACCTCAGGTCAGTATTGGTACAGTAGATATCCCTACCATCACTCCAGACCATGACTTCAGGTCAGTATTGGTACACTAGATATCCCTACCATCACACCACCCCCAGACTTCTGGTCAGTATTGGTACAGTAGATACCACTACCATCACCCCACACCCAGACTTCAGGTCAGTATTCGTACACTAGATATCCCTACCATCACACCACACCCAGACTTCTGGTCAGTATTGGTACAGTAGATACNTCCCTACCATCACACCACACCCAGTCTTCAGGTCAGTATTGGTACAGTAGATACCCCTACCATCATCCCACACCCAGACTTCAGGTCAGTATTGGTACACTAGATATCCCTACCATCACCCCACACCCAGACTTTAGGTCATTATTGGTACAGTAGATATCCCTACCATCACACCACACCCAGACTTCAGGTCAGTATTGGTACAGTAGATATCCCCACCATCACACCACACCCAGACTGCAGGTCAGTATTGGTACAGTAGATATCCCTACCATCACCCCACACCCAGACTTTAGGTCAGTATTGGTACAGTAGATATCCCCACCATTACACCACACCCAGACTTCAGGTCAGTATTGGTACGGTAAATATCCCCACCGTATGACCACACCAAAGCTAAAGTTATAGATTAAATGTACTGTATGTAGTTTGTCAACTACATGATCAGGAATCCTATACTTTATCAAGCATGTTCTTTGGAATGATAGAAATGTTTTCTTTACAATTGTGTATGTTTTACATTGTAATCACATTATTTCGTATTTCATATAACATGGAGATAGGTAATTTCATGAAAATATTCTTCTGTTAATAGACTGTTTTTGGCCATGGATCCAAAATTCGGAGAAATATCAAGAGCCATGAGGAACCGAGGAGTCGAAATCTTTATCCCAGGGGAGGTAAGCATTATATTATTTCTTCTGATGTATAAGTGTTAAATGTGAATCTTTGGTTATATTCACAGTAATTCTGCTAGTGCCAATGTTGTTAAATCTGGAAGAGCCAGCTGTAGACACCCTAACAATATAATTTGCAAATTTTTAATAAATTGTAATAAAATGTACTTGTTGAGTAAAACATGTTTGTTTTGTAGGAGGATGGGTCACCATACAGCCAACATGACATCAAGGTCATGTTACAAGGTCAAGGTCTCTTGGATGCCGGGGCTTGTGATTGGTTGATGGCTCTACACAGTGTCATGAGAGAGAATATTTCCTTTGGGGAACGACCTGTCATTCTTGATCTAATCCATGCTGCCATGGTGACGCAACAACAGAGAGACAGAGGCATTGCATTGGTCAAGGCGCTGATGCATGCATCATGTGACGTGTATGTCAAGAATATCAGAGCAGTTGTCACAAGAAAGGTTTGTGCATTTACAGTGTAATCATTTCTATTGGCCTACAAATGATGTGTCACTCAACGCCTCTATTTCAACCAGACATGTTCTTTAGGTTTGCTTAATCTTGGGCATCTTGTACATTTCCTCCCAAATATTGACAGGTGATGGTAACCATTAGTTTACCTGCTGATGGAGTCTGTAATTACTGATGCTTGACAGGTACTATTTTGGCACTATATGTAATGTCTTGGGGTTCAGAAATGACCCTCTAAATAGATGTTACATCCAACTTGTTTGTTGCTCAGACATACAATATGCACACCTTCCCATATGAAAAAAACTTGCCTTATTCTTGTGTAAAAGTAAAGAAAATTGTACTAATGTCTTCAAAATTATATTAGGAGATTGTCAGTAACCACATACTTGCAGGGTAGATATAATTGTCACCTCATGCAGTATCATTTTTTATCATTATGTTAACTACACTGGTGTTAACCAAAGGTACATTTGTACATGGGAATTACACATCTGGTTGACTACCAGCTCTACACTTCTATACGCATAACAAGCTATCTTGTCTTCCATGACAACCACAGTTGAAATGTGTCATTATTTTAAAATATGTTATGTGTGGTGGGAGTTAATCCTTTCACCACATAGGGGTGAAAGGGTTAACAGCAAAATAGCATTTGATCTTCTGACACTTAGCTTACTTTTTTAACTTGATAATTACATGAATATATTTCAATATTGTTTTTGCATAGCATTTTATTAACCATATGTTTAAATACATGTTACAGCTTGCTAGGCAGCTGTGGGAGGATCACTGTCATCTACTTGGTGATGTGTCATCTGATGTAACAGGAGTTACCATGGAGATTACCAGCACAAAGGATTTCCATGAGGATAAACAACTTTCCAATGTTAAAATACATGGGGATACTTTCCTGACCGTTCTGGAGAGGTGTATACATTTACTCAAGAAAAGGTAACAAGCTGAACTTTTCTCCTTTAATATTGTGTATACTGTGTACAGGAAATCTGTTGATACTCATGTTAACCAAGCTAAAGGTTAGAACACTTACCTCTTCCAAGTCCACAAATATTGACTTTGATATATATTGTTACAGTTTTACCAAATCTTCTTTGTAGATGTACATATCAAAGCAGCATACCTGCTGATCATATATTAGCACACTTTGTGCTAATTTGAAAGAACTGGATTATGATTACTGCAAACATGAAGTACCTGAGTGTATGTTATTATTAGTGGTGAATGTATGTTTATCTGATATATGCATTCATAACAATACACAAAAATCAATATAAACTGTACAACTCTCGGTTATTTACCATAATTGAACACTCTTTCACCAGTATCTCATATGTGTTTATACTGAATTTGTTTTACAGAGAATTTTCAGAACTTAGATGTAGGATGCAAAATTTGTGGCATGCTGGGATACTGTTCTTAAATTTATCGTCAAGATCACACAGACAGCTACATTTTGATTGGTTGATCTCCACGATTAAACGTGTGTGGCCTGACAAAAACAGGTGTGCATTAAACAAAGAAGAGTTGTCTGCCCTTGAAGCCTTCGCTGAAAATCTTTGTGAAAGCCTACAGCATGTGATGACTGGAGAGTTGGTGGTGCCACTAACCCAGTATAACCAGGATGATCTCTTCTCCTGTAACATAGCAGGTAGGACATTGACCTCCCCTCCCTCCCCCCTCCCCTCCCTCCCCCATATGTGTGTGACCTTGAACTCTCCTGTAACATAGCAGGTATGACATTGGCCTCGTCTCCATATGTGTGTGACCTTGAACTCTCCTGTAACATAGCAGGTATGACAATGGCCTCCTCTCCATATGTGTGTGACCTTGAACTCTCCTGTAACATAGCAGGTATGACATTGACCTCCTCCCTATATGTGTGACCTTGAACTCTCCTATAACATTAGGTATGACTTTGGTCTCCTCTTCTTAAAATATATCGAGTTTGACGTCATCTCTTCCCCGATATATATGACCATGACTTTTCCTATAGTATATCAGCGATGGGCTCAACTTCCACACCTATATTTGTGACTTTGACCTTTCCAATAATATTGTCTGAAATGTGATTTTTGTTTCAGACCTGTTAGTCAATGGTCCAGTGGATGCGAGATGGAATCCTCAGGCTCTCCAGCAGTTTTTCCTGACTTGTCAACAGACATCTAATTATAACATCCAATTCAACAGGTAAGTGATTGTGGTATAAAGCCATTTAATTGAGGCAATACAGAGTAGCATCAGCCTTACCTTGGCTTCATCACTAGGTTTTGGCACTCTTTTTAGGAGTTAGATTTAATATTTCACTGTTTTGTAGGTTCCACATGATGCAGGCAGCTGTCATTAAACTCAACTCAGCTTCAGATGAGGCTCTTCTTGAAAGACTGAGGGCTTTTACCAACAGTGAGTATAACTTGTAGGATAATACTGGTAGCGTACTATTTGTTTGTTAAGGAGATCAAAATCAATCAGAAAATAGACTCAGTAACATTTCAATGAGGATTATAAGTCATAATCTGTGATGAAGGAATGTCATTATCTCATTGTAATGTATCAGTGTTTGAAAATTAATGTTATGTTTGAAAATAAGTTGATTTGTTATGAATGTGTGTCTATTTGTTTGCATTATTGTTTTTTCATTGCAGATTTTTTTAAGCAAGCAATGTGTTTGTGATGCAAAAAAATGAATGAGTTCTTAACCATAGAAGTTGCATTTTTATACGCCCGTCAAATTTGACGGAAGTATTATGGTATGGGGTCGTTCATCTAGCGTAAACTTTTGTTTGTCTGGCAATCCCCTCCTTCATTCTCGACCGATCTATTTGAAACTTGGTATACATTATAATCATGATATGAAGTTGTGTCTCCCTTGAAAGAATTTTTATTTGACAATTTTTCCAAAAGTTATTGCCCTTTGTTCATTTCAGTATTTGATTTTTTGTCCAGAGATCTTCTCCGACATTTTTTGACAGATTTCTTTGATACGTAGTAGGCTAAATACTCATGATATGTTGTTGTGTTTCCTTGAAAATAATTTTGATTCAACAATTATTGCAAAAGTTATTGCCCTTTGTTTATTTCAGTATTTGATTTTTGTCCGGCAATCTTCTCCTACATTTTTCAACGGATCTCTTTGAAACTTGGTATACATTATAATCATGATATGAAGTTGTGTCTCCCTTAAAAGAATTTTTATTTGACAATTTTTCCAAAAGTTATTGCCCTTTGTTCATTTCAGTATTTGATTTTTTGTCCGGAGATTTTCTCCTAAATTTTTTATAGCATGTCAGCTAACCACTCTTAGAATGATGCAGATTTGATTGCAATGTAAGAAAGTATATAACACTATATGGCATTCGACGGGCATATATTGTTCCTTCCCGCGTTACTCTTGTTAAGACTGCATAAATGAAGTTTTCTGTTGTATTTTATATGAATTAGCCCTGGATAGATGTGACCACATACAAATATATTATCTATACACTGTTCTTTTACAAGACCAACCCTTGGTAGACAGGACCACACTAGTATGTAGCATATACATATATTTATGTACTGTTGTTGTTTTACAGAATCGGCCCTGGGTAGACAGGACCATACTGAACTCTGTGATATATATGTACTGTTGTTGTTTTACAGAATCGGCCCTGGGTAGACGGGACCACACTGAACTCTGTGATATATATTTATGTACTGTTGTTGTTTTACAGAATCGGCCCTGGGTAGACGGGACCA